GGAAGCTTTGACGTTTCCTTAAATTATTAGAGAAAGAAGGCGATTCGTTGTACCGTTCTCGACTCGTCTAAATGAAGTTTTCCCCTTCCGCGCGAAGCGCGGAATTTTTGGCGTTTCATCACAATATAAAGATAGAAAGACGATTCCTCGTACCGTTTTCGAATCTTATTAAGCCCTTTTCATCTGAATTCAGTTTCCCCCTTTCGCGCGAAGCGCGAAAGCTTTGACGTTTCCTCAATTTACAAGAGAAAGAACACGATTCGTCGTTCCGTTCTCGAGTCGTCTAAATGAAGTTTTTCCCCTTCCGCGCGAAGCGCGGAATTTTTGGCGTTTCATCACAATATATAGAAAGGAAGACGATTCCTCGTACCGTTTTCGAATCTTATTAAGCCCTTTTCATCTGAATTCAGTTTCCCCCTCTCGCGCGAAGCTCGAAAGCCTTGACGTTTCCTCAAATTATTAGAGAAAGAACACGATTCGTTGTACCGTTTTCGACTTTTAATAAGCCCTATTTGTCTGAATTCAGTTTCCCACTTTCGCGCGAAGCGCGGAAGCTTTGACGTTTCCTTAAATTATTAGAGATAGAAGACGATTTCGTTGTACCGTTCTCGACTCGTCTAAATGAAGTTTCACCTTCCGCGCGAAGCGCGGAATTTTTGGCCTTCCATCACAGTATAAAGAAAGGAAGAGGATTCGTCGTACCGTTTTTTATTCTTAAACCTTGTTTGAATTGAGTTTCCCCGAAAATGTTAAACCTCTGATTTCTTTAGCTGAACTTATAGGAAAGTGAAACTTCGAGAAAATACAAGTATTGTAGTTGTAGTCACTCTCGAAATGGTCACAACGGATAAGAAATCACAGTTCGTAGGGAAAAAAACTTGTCGGCCGACCAACAATATACATCTCACCGACTTTAAACTTCTGCATTGATATAGTACACGAGGATCGAGCAAGAATACCGACACAGCTGACACGACACAGCAACATATTTACCCGTGTCTTGCTTGCTCCCTCGACGAGACGACTCCACCCAACAACCCCTTCTCTCTTTTACTCCCACTCCTCCTCTCTCAGACTCTTATCTCCCCTCTCTCTCCTCTCTTTCATCCCCCGTATTTTTTGTTTCCCTTTCACTCTTTTTTCTTCTTTTTCCTTTTCTTTCTTTTCTTTCTTTTCCTTTCTTTCCTCTCCTCCCTCTTTTTCTTTTTTCTCTTTCTTTCTTCTCTTTTCTTTCCTTTCTTTTCCTTTCTTTCCTTTCTTTTCCTTTCTTTCTTTTCTTTTCCTTTTCTTTTTTTTTTTCTTTTCTTTTCCTTTTTTTTTTCTTTTCTTTCCCTTTCCCTCTCTTTTTTTTCCCTCTCTTTTTTTCCTTCCCTTTTTTTTCCCTCTCTTTTTTCCCTCTTCCCCCCCCCTTTTCTCTTTTTCCCGACGGCAGCGCAATTTTACCGACAAAATCCTGACAGGTGGGGGGGGGGGGGGTGTCGCACCCCCCACACCCCCCCTTTGGCGACGCCCCTGGTAGTAGTAGTAGTAATAGTAGTAGTAGTAGTATGGTAGTAGCATCAGTAGTAGTATGAGCAGGAGGAGGAGGAGGAGCAGAAGCATCATTATTATTAGTAGTAACAGATGTACAAAGTGATAGTAGTATTGTTTTTTGAATACCAGTAACACAGGGCCTTTCTGTTACAATATCCATCACGTTTGATTATCATGATGTCTATGATCAACTTCAAAATTCAAACGTATCCCGAAAGGCTTGATCTGAGGAACGTGTAATGCTCTTTACCTGCTCGACCTCTAAAGTTTGAAAAGCTTAGAATAAACGGAAGCACTATCAAATGAAATTAAAGTCATTACCTGTCTGACTTCCGGCAGTAGCAGCCTTGGTTCCAGACGTTAGTCCTAATTGAAATAAAACAACATATTATTTTCCTTTATCACAATGACTAATGAGATGGCTCATTTGCGCAATGGCTCAATGATAGAGCAGTGGAGAGGACTTAAAATCTTCTGCCTCCTGTTTGCTTACTTACAAGCATAAACATGCTTTGTTACCAGTCAGGTGAAGCTATCCTCTCTGCAAAATAATGAAGATAGTATTTGAGTGACTTGGTAACATTGTTGAAGGTTGAAGAAAAAATTGCTTAATTTGTGTAAATAATGTGAATACTATATTCCTTCTACTGTACTAACCCTCTGACATGCAAAAAATACTGAAAAAATTCTCAAACCACGAAGATATCTATGGTTTTCTTTGAAAAGGTCGATGTATGACACCCTCTAACAGTGATCAACAGTAAATTCTCCCAACCATTTTTGAATTTTCCCAACCGTTTTTCCATGAAAAAAAAATATAATCCGTCAACACGTCAATGTCTGGAATGGAATGTACAGTCATTTTATTGCTTTATGACGATTTCCATTCAAACACCTAAAATGTAATTAACGTGTAATAATATAGTTGGGAGAATAAAGGAATCGATCAGATCAGTTTTCCCATATATGTACCATGAATAATGGTCTGTTTTCGCTCAATTTTTAGATTATCTTTAATTGTACATCTAGCATTGAACTCACTACCTTAGCACCACTATCTCTCATCTGAACAATGTTGCCAAATAATAGACCAGTGGGCCTCTTGGCTGGCCAGTGGAAGGCGTACGTAGGAGGCAGCTGATTCTACTGACACCAGAAGGGATTTCTGAAATACCGCTAAAAGTGCTCCAGTGTTAAGGTTAAACTTTCTTTTTGTATATGATTGTAGTGGGTTTTTTTTCAATCCGTCTTATGATTGAAGTAGTCTAAAATGCTTGATTTCTTCATCTTGTTTACCCCTTTTCTCATGACTCTCTTTCCCTGTCTCTCTCTCTGTGTCTCTCTCCCTGTCTCTTGAAGGATGTGCCTATAGCAGGCAGCATCACTTTTGGTTGAGTTCTCGATCAGTGCATGATATTATTGGACTTAGTGGACTAATTGGTGAATTATTTATATCAATCGTCTTGTGAACACACATAGCATCTTTTGGACATTTTCGAGACAAGTTTGGTATGTGTTTCAATGAAAACGATATCTTGTTCATATGACTTATTAATTTCATGTAGTATCCATTGCACTACACCAGTACACTGCACCGTATTCTCATAACATACAGGTTACGTTTCTGTGGTCTAGTAACAGTTTACAAGGGACACATTCGCCCAATATTGAATCATCGAGTAAAATCAAATCTTAAGTTTGGAACGAATTCAGAAAAGGACATGCAGGACCATGTCAGGTGATCAATATATACGAACTATGACAAAGCTCTTTAATTGTGTTCCTTGCAGACGCTATCAGATAGACGCAAACAATAGGCCATTTTCGTAATGTAACCAAATTTAATGCGTAAGTCTTTGTGAAGTGCCTCAATACAAATTATTTCATTCACCTGATAAGAATAATATTATTTCAATAGACAGAATCCGAACTAATTACATAAGTTGTTCCCAGGTTGTGCAAACATGATGACTTGACCTACCTAGCAACACTTAATACATGCAGTTGCATTCTGACTATTGAAATACTATTATTCCTAACAGGCGAATGAAATAATTTGTATTGAGGCACTTCACAAACACTTATGCATTACTTGGTTACATTACAAAAATGGCCTATTGTGTACTAACGTTGCCTCATCTCTTGCCAACAGCCCAATTTGTAAACATGGGTTACCTGTTAACAATGATGTAGATCATTCACTGTGGAGAAGGTTTAATTCGTCAATTTCATTGTAAAACGAAACGCTATAGAAATAGCTCAATTTCGTACTTAATAGACCTGTTGAATGCATGAAAGAATCACAATTTACACTGTTGCACTTATCTGTCGTATTTACCAGTTGAATGGCAAGGAATCTCATTATCTGCTTTACGTTTTACATTTTACATTTTACATTTTACATTTTATAATGGCCTGCTACCTGCTAGTAATATATAATGTGCATCGTATTACCACCTCTTGTTTTACAAATGATTGTGCGTTTATGCTTCCCAATAACCCTTTTTTTGAGAAACGCTGATCCCAAACGCACTTTTTTTTGTGAGTTCACGATCGGCGTTCATCGGTGTTCATACGAAAATACGTTCATACGAAAAGGACATCAATTTATAATTATGTACTTACCGTTGATGAAAAGGCAACATAGAGCAACATTTTGCTGACTTTTAATTTTCAATGAATATGAATATGAATTGTTAAAGACACAGGTGCAATAATTTCAGAATTAGCTTTTTACTTCTTTGTATGTTATGTATTGTATTGCTTTTGATCAATTATTGTTATTACTATTGTGAAGTTTAATAGATTTTAAAAATGTAAATAATATATAGTGGTTGATTTTAAATGCTACACATGAATACTGTTTAATGTTACCAATACTGTTTGAATGAATGATTGTAACACATAAAATATAATGTTATGTAATGAAGCTCATGTATACATGTAAACATGCACAATTAAGCATTTTGGCTGCGAGGCATTGTTTTTTAATCGAACCATTATTGAATTGAATTGAATGAATTGAATTGAGGACGAACCGTGTTGTGAACTAAACACTTAACAAAAGCCTCATTCTGGCCTCAAACAAGTTGAGCATAGGGACTGCTTGCTCATTCTTTGACCCACTCTAGCTTATGTCACTTCACAATATAACTCAATATCCTTCACCCCCTTTTCTCTGTATTCTACCTTTTGTCTGTTACTGCCTTAGTCATGTTGGTCATGGATTTTGTTATAGATATCATACTTTGTGCAAACAGCATCATGTTCATATCAAGTTGATCCGTTTGTCAAACCATATATCAGCTTCTTGGCTCCAAAGTGCAATCTTAACACAACTTTTCAATCAATCTCTCTCTCTCTCTCTCTCTCTCTCTCATTTCTCCCTCTCCTGGCATTTTCCTTCTCTTTCTCTCTCTCTTTTAATCTCTCTCTGTATCTCTCTTTCAATCTCTTTCTCTTTCTCTCGCTCTCTATCTATTTTCAATCTCTCTCTCTCTCTCTGTTTCTCCCTCTATCTCTCTTTTATTCTTTCTCTCTTTCTCCCTCTCGCTCTTTCAATCTCTCTCTCTTTCTCTCCATATCTCTCTCTCTCCCTCTGTTTCAATCTCTATCTCTCTCTTTTCTCGCTCTCTCTCTTTCTTTTTCTCTCTCTCTCTCTCTTTCAGTCTCTGTCTCTGTCTCTTATTTCAATCTCTCTCTCTCTCTCTCTCTCTCTCTGTTTATCTCTCTTTCTCCCGGCTCTCTTTCTCATAGTTGATATAGAACTCTTACCTGCCACCATGATGATTGTTGCCCATAGCATGATGATAGAGATCCGCTTCACCAGACGGTTCAGTCTGTCCATGGTCAATGAGTTCCTCAATCACAATAACATACAAACCTCGTCCAGATACGACTCCTAAACTATTAGCCTCAGCTTCGAGCTCCGTTACTTATCGCTCTCATGTGCTATTATGCAAGCTTATATAACCATTACAAATCCTGCCAACATTATTGTAAGGTCAAATAAAGAGATTCTCAATGGGCACTGAATTAATCCGAAATATATGATTAATTCAACTAGAGTTGTCTACGTTTTTTCAGTGGTGGTGGTGGGGGTGGTATTTGCCATATTTCATTATTCATTGTCGAGTCACGATTGGTCAATTCTTCGTAAAAGACAAAGTACATTGTATACGTGCTTTTAAAGGGGGAGTGGCCAAATTTCCGGGAGAGGAGCTTACGTATTCTCTTTCCACTATACGTTACATTAAAGGTACTATGTCCCATTTGCGGGCCAAACAAAATGAAAAGGTTAATGCCAACAGCATTTGAAAGATAATACCAATTTAGAACTTCCCTAAAAAAAAAGGGGGGAGGGGGGCTTGAAAATGTCTTTAAGTGGAAAAAACGCCTATTAGTTGTCGAATAGACTTAAGGGCCCGAATTCACAAAGCAAGGTTTGAGCTCAGACCAAGGTTTGACCTCAAACCTCCTTTTGTTTCGCCAAACCTCCTTTTGTTATTTACAAACCTGGTTTGTAAATAACAAAGGGAGGTTTGGCGAAACAAAAGGAGGTTTGAGCTCAAACCTTGGTCTGAGCTCAAACCTTGCTTTGTGAATTCGGGCCTACAGCTTTAGGGCCAGTAAGTAATATTCTGATTCACAGACCATTGTACCGAATGGTCGTACGTTTTATGCTGCGCAAAGATTTAATCAGTTTAATTTGGCCATTATAAGAAGTAGGTTATTGATGTAGACAAATGCTCATGTACCCTTTACAGCTCATGTTATGTATGTTATTACAAAGAAGAAAAAAGTGAGTCAGTCACTCAATAGTGTCAGCCAGTGAAGTCTAGCAAGTAAGCCGGTTTCCTTGCCTAATTTGAATATTAGGACACTGCTAAGGTTTAAATTTCACAGATAGGACATACATGACATATTCATAATTCCTGCAAAGTTCCACATAATTTGATGTTGGCTGCAAAAGGGACATACTATCGTTAACGTTTTATTAAGTACTTTGAGAAAGGCTATTATTTTCGAGGTTTGATATTTTTTGTTATCCTTTATTTTCATCACATCTTCAAATGTCAAGCAACGAGGTTTATATGCATTATGACCGGTATAAGCGTTACGAACTCAGCGAAAGAGAACATAATTTTACTCACAAGACGAATCAATTACAAGAGTTTGGGGAACCTCGAAATAAATGTTCACTATTTTACTGTCGTTTAGCAATTTCCCAAAACATCCTTTCCCATAGAAAGACCAAGTGCATTCAGAATCCACTTCCCAGGAAAGACCACCTCTGTTTTGTTTGAGCCCCATACATATAAAACTACCAAGTAGTCCATTGTTCTGGCGGGTCCATCTATGCCTTTGTTTTGGTGGCCCTCATTCGTGTCTTTGTCCCTTTGACACAAAATAACCTACCCTTATAATACTTGTATCCTTCTGTATAAATATTACATGAACTGGCTTTCTGCATGAAAAAGAGGAGTTTTGATGACCATTAGATTAAGACCCTCTTTCTAGCTGGCTCTCTCTTCATCTTGTGTTTTACATATTATGTAGAAGTTCGTAATGATATGACTGATTTGATTCTCCAAAGTTTGGTGATAATAAATACTCTGATATGACTCTGGAATTACGAGTCTCTCCTTGCTGCTTCATTTGATGTACGTCTCCTATCATACACCGATCCCAACACAACATTACCTCAACCCCGGTAGAAATAATATCCGGAGGTTTCAGCTCAGTTTGTGAACGGAAAGATGGCTTAATACACCCTTGACCCTATGCTTTGATTACATCCGGTAATATCCGATTGGAATCCAGGGCTATTTCGAATACTGGTGTTAGATGCACTTAGAGCAAGGTCATTATGCAGTGTTATATGGAGAACAAGAAAATAATAAAAGACTAAATAGATATTCGTGGCTGTGATTGATATGACAAAATCATCAACGATCACTGACCATCTAAAACTCTGCGCAGTGAATCAGATGAAAAAGATACCCACTATAGAAAAACTATTATAGTTATGGATAAACTCGAAAAGAATTCCCTTTTCCATTGTGCTGAAAGTCGTCAGATAAATTGAATAGGGGTAGGGGCGGGATTCTTAGTTGATGTATTTATCCTTTTTACACTTCTTTTATTTCTAATTCTTGTATTTACTTGTTTTGGTCCTCTTTTCAGATTCATGATGTTCACCGTTTAAAAAAAAATGTCTCCTTTATCTTCCGTTCCTATTTATTTTCATTTATGACTTTATTTCAGTAGTATGGTTTGTCTGTCTCGTATACCTGATGAAATCTGCTAGTATCATAGGCTGTCGGTCCACTGATACCCCCTCCCCCCCCCCCCGGACCGATACATCACAAATTAATTATGGCTATATATACGTGTGAGGCATATTGTTCTTCTTTATCACGCCTTTGTCATGAGGTGGCGCTATAGAACTTAACTACTCGAAACTGATTCTAAGGAATTAACCGGTTTACAAAACATGTAATATTCAAATTGTGTGCATCATTTTTAAACAAAGACTGTTCTTGACAACCTTAAAGCTTGCCTGGGGCATATCTGACATAACAACAAGTAACGTATGCAGACTGGATTCCAAGTATTGTGGTTCATTCTCATTTTCATTCGGAAAACCTTACAAAGCTTTAATAGGACTGATTGATTCTGAGAAATCAAATCTAATCTGAAAAAACGACATCAAGCATGTTTGGAATCACGATGGTCGCATCAAAGTTGTAACTAGTGATGAGCGACGTGAAAACGCTAACAAACAGAGATCACCTTAAAGCGGATTAAACCGTCTTCTAAGTACATCTCTTGAATGTGTAATACAATTACTGTACTTAATTAATTGCCAACTTTAACGAGTAAAACTGCTATTGTTTCGGTTGTTATGCCTCCGCCCATTTCAAGTTCCCAAGCAGTTCTAATTGGCCAAATCTTTTGTCCACGTTATTATGTTTTCTTTTGTTGTGTGCATACAGAACATTGACCCATGTCAGACACAGGGATCGAACGCTACAGGGCGTCACAATGCACATACTGGTCGCTTAACTCTAGTCAGTTTTATCATTGGATAGTGACTGAATGAACTTTTATGTTCGGTGTAGACTTTAAGTGGTTTACTTAATAGTCTTTCGTGTTCTTTTGTAATTAATAGTGGTCTTTTATTCATCTTTTGAGCAACTGGCCCCCTTTCACGGTTAAGAAATATCACTGTGTTTATTTTCTAAATGTGTTAAGAGCAATGCAAAGTGTCTATTATGCACTTGTTGCGAACGGTGGATTCGTGTTATCAGTGTCCCGGTAGAGACGTATAATAATCTTTCTGAACATTTTTTGGATTTTATACATGTTCGAGTTGCCTTTTGACAAGATTGCCAATTTATGAGAATGAGGATGACAATGTGTATTGAGATGCACCCTCTACAGTTTGTCAAATAGTAGCATGTAAATATGGTAATGAGGTATAATTCGATGCTTTATGTCAAAATGGACTAAGATGTGTGCAATTGAATATTGTGAGTTTGTAGAACATTTTTGACGAGTTGAAGTCTATTTAAATTCAGAATTATATACATGTTTGTGCTTTAAAAGAAACGAGGCTTGATGCTGAAAGTCATGATGCTGAAGTTTCGATATCTGGTTATTCGCTTAATATACGGAAAGATCGTAATCGAAATGGTGGGGTTGTGGCCGTTTACATACAAAATAATATTGAATATGAACAATATACAGTTCTAGAAGATCATTCTCTGCTTGAATAAGAAGCAATCCTTATTATATAAATATAAAGAACTCTCAACCCAGAGGCGGCGCTCCCAGGGGGAGGGGGGGGGGGACAGGGGGCACAGTGCCCTCTCACTTTTTACAGTACCCCAAAAGTGTCCCTTTAACTGTGTAAGACGTGCCCCTTTTTACTTAGGAAAAGTGCCCCTTTTACTTTGACAAGTGCCCCTTTTATTTTGACACGTACCCGTTTTCCTCTGACAAGTTCCCATTTTCGTTTGTATTAAGTGTCTATTTTTCATTTTCATAAGTGCCCTTTTTAATCTCTAGTAAGTTCCCCTTTTTAGGTACTAGAAGCGCCCCTTTTCACTTTTGATAAGCGCACCCTTCACCTCTAAATATTGCCCTATTCAAATCTGAGAGGTTCCCCTTTTCCTTTGTAAAAAGTGCACCTTCCCCTTTTAATAACTACCTCTTTTCAACCTGGATAAGCGCACCTTATATTTTCACATGTGCCACCTTTCCTTTTCCTTTCCTTATGATAAGTGCCCCATTTAAAAAGAGCCCATCTCATAAATACCCCTTTATATCTATGAGAATAGTTCCTTTTTATTCTCATAAGTGCCCCTTTTCATCTTTTGTAAATGACCCTATTCAATTCTAATATATACTCGTTTTACTTTGACAAGTGCCTCTTCGCCTACTGATAAGTGCTCTTTTCATCTTTTATAAATGCTCCTATTAACATCTGATCGACGCCCCTTTTCTTTCAACAAATGCACATTTCCCTTTATCATAAGTGTCCCTTTTTCGTTCTCATAAGTGCCTCTTTTTATGTATGGTCAGTGGCCCTTTTCAGATGCGATAAGTGCCCCTTTTCAGCTCCGATAATTACCCTTTTAACAATGATATGTTCCCCGTTTTCCTTTCTAATAAGGAACCTTTGCCTTTTTCATAAATGCCCCTTTCACTTCTTATAAATGCCCTTATAAAAATATGGTGGGTGCCTCTTTTCCGTCGACAAATGCCCATTCCTTTTCATCCCTGGTGCATGCCTCTTTTTTTAGATGTAAGAAGTGCCCCATTTTCACCTCTAATAATTAGCTTTTATATTTTGACACGTGCTCCTTTTCTTTGCTAATAAGTGTTATAACCCTTTCGATAAGTGCCCCTAATTTCAAGCAAATAAGAGCAATTTCCCCCAAAGCTCGCTCGTAGTTATATATGTTATAATTATGTAACTTAAAAAAGGTCTTTTCAGTCTTCCGTTATGAGAATGTGCTTATAACCCCATCAAGATTGGATTTTTCCTCCTCAGAAGATTTAATTTTTTCGCACTGCGACAGGCTCATAAATCATAAACATTTTCCTCGCTAGCTCTGCTCGCTCGCAAATGAATTTTTGAGACCATCACACCCAATCGCAAAGTATGATGCTTAAGCAATATCTTATAAGATACATAAACAGAAACAAATATTGAAATCACCTCCGATAATGTAATCATAATATATAGGGGTATAGACCAATGTCTAAAATGTTTTATATTTTCACTTTGAGATATCCCTTTGAAGGTGCTTTTTTTTCTCGAGAAAGTGCCCTTTTTTGTTGGTGCCCCCCACTTTGAAAGTCGCTCCGCCGCCTCTGTCTCAACCCACCCTTTAAACAAAATTTGGTATAGACCACCGATTTCAAGGCTTGAATCATTAATTGCTTATGACATTTTTTGAATATTCATGAATAATTTTAATTCAAATTCAATTATAGTAGGGGATTTAAATACATAGCCCCTTAAGACGCGAAAAAAATACTATGATCAGCTAAATACTATTCAAGGGTTGTATAATACCACAAAGTGCACTAGAATTATTAGTGATACAGCTACACTTATATATCACATGTTGACGAATGATCAAGACAACATAAAGGTGTCTGGTGTTATTGATGTTTGTATGGGCGATCATTATATGAATTACCTAATATGGAAATCACCCCATTTACTCACTCATGCTCATAATCCTGCAAATTTCAGGAGGTCTAAGGGTGTTGATTGGGTTGCTTTTCGAAATGTAAAAAAAAAAAAAAAAAAAATTGGAGCAACATTGACAAAATTGTTGATATTGATAATTCCGCTAAGAATTGGGAAGCTATGATATTATCTATGATGAACGAGCATATGCCTTTGAGAACTAAACGGATGGGGAAGCAATGCTCTCCTTGGTTAAATGAGTAAATTTCTAATTTAATTAAAGAAATACATTAAAGAGATACAGTTAAAAAGAGAGCTAATGTTATTAAGCAAAATAATGAGCTATGGACTGAGTATAGACCTTTAAGAATTAGGGTTAGAAACGCTATCAAAAAAGCAAAAATGCAACACTATACGAATAAACTATTTTAATGTCCAAATCGGAATGATACGTGGAAAGTTCTGAACATATCTGTTTAATAAAGCATCTCGATTCAACGATCATATTTTTCTGATGTTGTAACAGAGTTGTTAAAAAAACATCAAGAAAGTAATTTTTGGGAAAATGAATTTAATTCAACTATTAGTGATGCACCTTGTCCCAACAAGTTGAAATTATCCGTCGTTTCTGAAGCTGATGTAATGAGAGAGATTATGTTAAAGAAATCATGCGGAGATGAAAGTGGCATGTAACTTTGCCAAAGTTGACCACCTGCTACAATATGGACTTTTAGATTGAGTGGACGAGAACACGACGAACGCCGACTGATCATGCGTGTCAACGTACTCAACTGCCATGTTGACTACAATTAGAAATTTTTCAGATCGACGATATACATGCATGCAGGAAGAGACGAACACAGAAAGAGGACAAAATATACAGTTCCTCATTCTATCCTCAACAATAGACCACTTTCGTAATGTAACCAAATTTAATGCATAAGTCTTTGTAAAGTGCCTCAATACAAATTATTTTATTCACCTAATACGAATAATAGTATTTCAATAGACAGAATCCGAACTGTATACATTAGTTGTTGCCAGGTTGGACAAACGTTATGGCTTGACCTACCTAGCAACACTTAATATATGCAGTTGCATTATGACTATTGAAATACAATTATTCTTATCAGGTGAATGAAATAATTTGTATTGAGGCACTATGGGAACTACCGCAGATAGTGTAGATGGGACCATGGAGTACTTGATGAGACTGGTGTTGTAGCATTGACGGTAGTTGGCTGAGTGGCAGTGGTTCCCTCGCTTTAAGACATTAAGACAATGATATCATGTTTTTTTCTTCGGTATAAAGCCTTTATTATGGTCTCGTATTTCATAAACATCTTATTATCAGTAGTCTAAAGTATATTGACATGTAACATGTTAATGCATTATAATGTCGGATAATCTCGCTTTTCATGGGATAGAAATCTAATAGGGCCTACAAGTGACGAATCAAGCTTGTACTGTATATACACGTACACTCAAGTCAGGAGTATATGTGTTTGGGGGGGCAGTGCACGGTGAACCCCTCCCCGATTCATTTCACTATTACATTGATTAGAGGTAAAGAAGATGAACCCGTACAGTGCTTTCCTATAGAGCAATCACTCTCGTTCTTTATCGCACTTAATGCTTGCAATTTTCAGTTCGTTATCAGATCCAATATACCAACAATGTTAGCATTGGATCGATGAGGAGACGATTAGAAGCCAAAGAAAGGATCGGCTTGGTGGAAGAGACATGCTTCAGGGGAGTTAGGAGGAAAGAAATCGCTGCCAGGTCCCTCAAATCCATTTGCTCCATGTGTGTGTGTGTGTGTAATTGGGTTTTTACAGACGTGTATCAATCAGATATGATTATTTACGTCTGGGACCGACCTTTAACGTCACCATCCGAAAGACGTGACTCAGTTTTGAACCTGCGTCCTCGGCTGAATCAGTTTGTAACTTCCACTGTTGGCTGGATTACAGGCGCACGCCACAACGCCTAGTTTTCAAACAACGTCCAGCTTTCAAACAGACGACCAACGTAGAGGGCACACCACCAATACATCTGTAAAGAGAAAAAGATTGATAATAATGGTAGCTGGTGTTATTTCCTATCCAGACTTATTTTAATAGCCGATTGTGATGGACGCCATTTAATTAGATATTAGCCCTTTTATGGATCGACCTCTGTATAGGCCTACAAAGAGCAATGCACTGGTCTTTGACAGTTCGGCAGTGTCTCACGGGCACCAATGTCTGGTTACCATGGCAACTATTTATTATTATAAAAACCTTATAGAACTATGAAGTATAGGTTACACATTATCAAGGATAGCTACGATAACGCTCCAGCCTGGCCACAAATAACACAACAAAAATAGGTCACTGCACCATTGGCGCTATCAGTATTAAATATTTAATGTAATTTAGATGTTCTTGGAAGAAAGTCTCAAAAAGATGAAGTGAACCCGATGATAAATGTTGGAAGGAAATGAATAATGTGATTTAAGTCCAAGAAAATCACTGGATCATTATGTCACAACAAACTGTTCTTATTTATGTCTCTGACTCTGCCAAGTGACATCTTAAACTGCAAAAATTGCAACATTTTCGATGGTAACTGTTTGTACAATGCAAACATTGTATCCTAGACAATGAATGGGAAAATAGAGACAAATGAGAATATAAAACTTACCTGCAATAGTCGTCTCGCCCATCATTATCCTCATCCTTCATGTACCATGTATTGGAATAACCTGGATCAAACCATTCTACGGAGGGGTTGGGGGAAGTATAGGCTAGTAAATCATCTTCTTCAGATCCAGCGAGAAGACATGAAAGGAATGACTTTCCATCGGTGCGCACGACCCTATACAAGAAGATTGAGTAAAAATAACTTTCTGCACACGACCCTAAATGATGATTAACATTAAAAGGACTTAGAAGCATTGTTGAAGTGAGAAAAAATGATGCTTAGGTAGTGAAGTCAATGCTAGATGTAATATTAAAGATAATCTGAAAGTTTGAGTGAAAACAGACTATTATTAATGATACAAATTGGGAAAAACTGATCTGATCGATTCCTTAAATATCTCAACTATATCTTATAATTATAAATAAATACATTTTTTTTTTATCAACCTTCAACAATGTTACTGGTTCACCTAAGTGCACAAGATCCTTCATGGATTTGTATGAATGAAATTGTTGCCCACTTTTACACGTACATGTGTATCAATGAAGAAGATATCTGACAGAGGACTTATGTTTAGATCTGTGCCATTTTATGTAATGCTGATATGGAAGCTTAGAAAATCATGTAGATCTTTTATCAAATTCAAATCAAGAGAAAATTATTAATCATTATGTTTTAATTCAATTAAATCTAGATATACAAAGCCCCAGTCTATTTCAAAAGCCCTGCAATCGGCTAATATAATTGAAAGGGGCGAGACAAATGATGATCAATGAAGGTGACTTACCTGCAGAAATCGTTGGGGGCGCCCTGGCCCTGTACATCAACCCACTCACGGAACATCTGCACCATTCCCCGGTCTGTGATGGCGTAGGAGCGGCGGAGAAGCTCACCCGTTGTACCATTCGTTACATTCTGCTGTATGGGAACTACTGCAGATGGTGTAGATGGGACCATGGAGTTACGTGATGAGACTGGTGTTGTAGCATTGACGGTAGTTGGCTGAGTGGCAGCGGTTCCCTCGCTTGGCTGCCCGGTGGTCGTAGCAGATGAAACACCTAGAAGACAATTATAGGAAAACATGTTGTTCGTTTTCGATAAGTTCTTGAAGAGTTCATTGACCGATGACGCCCTTCTGCCCAATGCACACGAGACAGGCAGGCGACATTGTGAGGACCTAGGTCAGCATCAACAACTGTTTAGAATTTTGACGCGCTATAAAAGGTTACAGCGGACATAAAGTGAAGGCAACATGAATAGCGTAAACAATACTTTGAACTACTGGGGTATGTACTAAAACATGCCCCCAGTTTGAATACTGCACACGAATGCTCATTTCAAATCGGTCATAATCTAGGCCTAAACAAGTTGGATAAGAAAACATGCGCATGCGCAAGTTATTTAAAGTATTGCTAAGAGTTTTAGTTCATTTAGCAGTCACGATATATACGATGTCACAATAACATGCTGTCTAAAGATACGCGCTAGTCACTCATACAAAAGTTGTTCGTCGAGAAATGACGCTTATGGATGTGCAAAACCAGACCTACATCCGCGACTAAACTAGTCTTTGAACCGCAGTATGAGTGTGATATGATGTAAAAACAGATGCAAATTAACAGTGCACTAAAACATATTACTGAAGCTAGGGGCGACGGAGTGACTTCCAAAGAGAAGGGGGGGCACCAAGAAAAAAGGGCACTTTCAGCAGGGAAAAATGAAAGATTTCAAGGCGAAAATGTACAATTTTTGTAGACATTGGTATATAAATATAAATTGTGATTACATGATCAGGGATGATTTCAATATTTTTGTTTCTTTTCATACACCATACAGGATATTGCTTGATAGGCATCATACTTTGCAGTTGGATGTGATATTCTGAAAATTCTTTTAAGAGCGAGGAAAAAATGCAAAATTGTTGAGGTCGCCGAGCGAAAAAAAAAAATCTTATGAAGAGGAAAAAACCCAATCCTCATGGGGTTATAAGCACTGAAAAAACCTTTCATAAGTTTCACAATTCTAACATCTATAAATGCAAGCGAGTGTAGCGAGCGAGCTTTGGGGTAAATTGTTCTTAGTCGCTTGAAATTATGGGCGCGTTAAAAGATGGGAGGAAAAAGGGGACTCTTATCGAAAGGGATACTTATTACAAAAAACAAAGTACAAAGGGTAATCACCAGAGGTGAAAAATATGGCACTTCTTACAACTACCAAAAGAGGCACTCGCCAGGGATGACAAATGGAAACTTAATATGAGAATTGGTAATTGTTATTTGTCGACGGAAAAGGAGCACCCATCAGATTTTGATAGGGGCATTTATGCAAAAAGGGGATAGGTCCCTTATTAGAAAGGAAAAGGGGCACGTATCATTGTTAAAAGGAAAATTATCGCACCTGAAAAGGGGCACTGACCAGATATGAAAATGGGCACTTGAGAAGGGGAAGGGACACTTATATGAAGAAAGGAGATCGTTTATTAGAAAGTACCTGCAAAGGCGCATTACTAAAGATTAAAAGGGGCGCATATGAGAATGAAAAATGGACACTTATTGCAAAGGAAAATGGGAAACTTGTCGAAGGAAAAGCACACTTCCTATGTAGAAAAGGGAACTTTGGGGGTACTTAAAAAGTGTGGGTGGGGGACACTGTGCACCCCCCCCCCTGCACCCCGGGAGGACCGTCTCTGTATTTATCTGTACATGTGCGTGTTTGTGTGCGTGTGTGTCCGTGCGTTTGTATAATTGTGTGTGTGGGCGGGGGTATATGTATTGCTGTGTATGTGTAGTTAGTGCATGGTGAATATAATTCAACCTGACTTGAATAGACTTTTGGCATTCTATCCAACCGCATCATGCTTTGTTTAAGCAGTCACGTATACCACGACAATCCATGTTAATGTTAGAATAGGTGACTAGCTATAATTTCATGGCAATTGGCATTGTATCCGATCTATAAAAGAGACTTTACTCACCCGGTCGGATCACAATCATCATGTAGATCGCTTTAGAATATATCGTCTATTTGGAGCATGGAAAACGTCATCATAATTATACATTTATACACTGGCCCTTCTGGCTCTGAAAAGACGATATCATTGTATCGTATCTGATCGATTACCTGATTCACAGTCAGCGTATAGATGAGCTTTGAATCCTGTGGTGATATCAGGGATGTAGTACGTTCGGCTGCTGAACCGAATGAGAACATAGTCTGATGTGAAGGTTATCGGTTCCGGTATGACGTCACCATATAAGACAGCACGAACAGTTTCTAATGAAGCAGATGAACTGATCTCAAGCTATGTGAATGAATGAAGAGAATGTGAAGAAAAAGGTTAAAAAAATGGATTCCATTTGCGATAATAATTATAAATACATTCCATGAACATAAGGAGGCGCAATTTGCCTTCACCCTAAACAGTTCTAAACTTTACTACAAGGTCAGATAACAGGTCTTTAAAAGTTTAATGAAGCACTGACGGTTTAAGACACAATAGGGGATGATGCCCCTATTTACAAAAGAAGCAATTATAGGCGCTAAATAAATACCAATATGTATGTATGTATGTATAGGTAACCAATGCCCATTCAGACATAAAATGAAACCCCATCTCCAAGTATCCTTTCCCTGTCTTCATCTCTCAAATCATGAAGTCAATATCAACAGAGCCAAAATGACTTCATGATAGGTTTTATTTAAATTTAAATTCAAACCAAAAGAATTACACACTAAAACAACTAATTCAGTCCATGATCAAAGACTTGGTTTAGAAAGAGACTATAAGAGAATCTTTCAGTTGAATTAAAGTTACAAGGAAACTTACGTCAGGATTATAGGATTAATATCCTAAGCCCGGTACACCCTCCCCGTTCCGCCCGTCCGCGCATATTTTTTTTTACACAACTGTTTAGCCATTTTCTCGAAAAAATTCCAAGGAGTGCTCTGGTGAAAGAGTCTAAGTCGTCAGCGCACTATATGTGCAAGCACGTACACCCAGGGAAGGGAAGGGACGATGACAGTAAAGAGAAAACAAGGATAGTGGAGAGGATATGGAGCAGGAAAAACAAGGAAATACATAAGGAAAGAGAAGAGGATAAGTCAAAGGAGAAAGTGAATCTATCAGTTAAAACAAAGAAATAGATGACGAAGGAGAAAAGGATAGATTGAAGGAGAAACAAAGAAATACATAAAACAAAAGACAAGTGCTTAGAATAAAGGAGAAAAAAGAAATACATGACGAAGGAGAACTGGGGTATAGATTGAAGGAAAAACAAAGAACAAAAGGAGAAAAAGGATAGATTAAAGAAAAAAGAAAGAAATACGTGACAAAAGAGAAGAGGATAGATTGAAGGAGAACACAGAAATACATAATGAAAGAGAAGAGAGGATAGATTTAACCCGAAACAAATAACGAGCATGTACAGCTCCAGTAATCCAACACAACTGCTAAGTGTAATGCTAGACTCTAGTCGTTTGCACAGTGGCTAAACGGTTGTGTAAAAAAAGTATGCGCCGCCCGCCCAACAACAAGACTCACGCTACAACATTACCCTAGATGGAAGAATGATTAGTAATATTATTTGTCTGCGGTACGATTGTATAGCAGACAAATGTTGTTTGTATCGTTAATGAATGCATACTTATGTTGGGTCCGGGGCTGTGCCCCGATGGAATGTAATTTGCATAGGCAGCTCGTACAGGTGTGCGAGCTAATTCTGCCACGGAGACCAGGGCGTGGCATGAATTAGTGTGTAATTGAATCATTCTAGCTTGAACTGTCAACGAGACAACTACCGTGGAGCCGATCTCGTGAACGCGGACATGCGAGACAACCAAACGGGGCTGCCAGGCCAGCCCGATTCGTTGACTTCTAAGAAGTTTTTTTTTTTCTTTTCAGCAGCATATTAATAGCAATCAGAAAGCCGGGGTCGTGTTTTTCGTGTGGAAAAGCAGGGCATTGGAGGGTTGACGACAGAGAGGTCTTCATTTATCTCCTTTACAATATACAGAGCTAAGTACAATTATCCTTACATTCACCCGTTTATAGGGGTTAATTTACCCAATAATCTTTCTGGAAAGGTTTGTCTCGAGAGAGAGAGAAAGGTAAATTGGTAAAGAAGAAGTGTATTAGGTAATACGAAAAGGAAAGATTCTCCATGTACTAAAACGGTGTGTTAAATGAGTTTCGTAACTGTCAAAATGGCACCTCCTATAGGAGACTACGAGGAAATTAAGAAAGAATGTTCGAAAATGCATTGATATATATATAAATGCTGATAATTATGTCTGATATAATCGAACAAGGGTACAAATTACCCTTACATTCAACTCCTTTAGGGATTATTTTGTCTGCCAAAGACCATTCGAAATTTGTCGAGAGAGAGATGGGTAAATTGGTAGAGAAGGATTGTATAACTGAATAAGAGGAGGAGGTTGAAGGAAAGTAAAGATCACCGTGCATTGGAGTGTGAAACGAGTTTCGTAGCTGGCATATACCATTTCCTGTAGGGAGACTACGAGAGAAGAAGGAATTGTTTTTGAGGAGAAAAACGAAAATTGCTGATAGATACGTCTGTGATGGTAGAACAAGGGTACAAGTTCCCTTTACATCTCATTTAGGTATTGATAGAGTAGGAAATGTATTAACGAGGTTGAAGAGAGGCTTCTTGTAATAAATTCTGTGTCCGATTACAAAGGACAGTGCAGATAAGTTCGAGATTGAAGGAGCGTCAATGTCAATTAATACAAAGAGAAATATGAAGATGTTTAATTGTGAAAGATGAAATAGGTGACTATGTGTTCACGTTCAAGTTGGCATGAATACCTTCACATTGAGATGGTTAATGAGGAAAGCCATATATTAGGCTTTGCCTGGGATTTCGGTGAAATAAGGTATCACGTTTTCAACATTTTACTTTTAGACATTTCTACCTTGGGGTATGTGTTCACCATTAAGAGTGATGAGATTTGTTGTCAGTTATTGGCGTGGTCATGGTCATAATGCAATCATGTTTCTTGAACACGGAATTGCAGGACATGACAACAGGAAAGGGGCTGATTCTCTACGTGTCTCAGTGCTAAAGGAACCTAAGGTCTAGGTCTTCTTCTTGCTGAAGAAAAATGTCAGTGGGCAATACTTCCTGACTAGGAATAAATTGGGATTTTCTGAACGAACGAGTGCGAATCGCAAAGAAACGCATTAACGATTTTAAGGTTTCTATTTCCACTTTAATTTCTAAAGATCGAAGGTCTGGTACTTTTTTGCTCGTTAGGTCTCTAGCGAAGGTAGTGGGAAAGATAGTGTCAATGCACATCGTGTTTGGATAATCGGTGTGTCAATTCATAGCGGCAGTCTGAGCATGAGTAGATAAAGGTCATTGCAGACCAAATTGTGAAATACGCGGAGTCAAAATACTGGATAGTGTTCATGAAAGTGATGCAATCATTATTTATTTTATGCACAAGCAGTGCACTCCACGATACACAGGTGGAAGAATTCTTTGAAAAGGGGACACAAAGACTATTTATATAGTACCTCCATCGCTATTGGAGTGATTGTTTCAAAGTGTAAAGTGGGAACTCTTCACTTTTTTGAGGATTTCCGTGGATAACCGTGATCTGGTCTATTAAAGACAATGGAGTCGTTCAAGTGTGTGAACAGAAAGAGTTGGAATGCTCGGTAAACATGAGATATGCTGGCAGGGTTCGGTTTTTTGCAGGGAAAATGTAGACAAGTTAAATAGTAACACAGAACTCAATGGGAGTTTGGTCTGAGTCTGAGAAGATTCAAAGCTCGTCGTGGAGAGTGCTCGAAGCCGTCGTGAGAACGGCAAGTATTGTTCGAGCATCGCCTGGAAGGGCGAAGTGTACGCTGGTACACGGACAGCAAGAATGTTGTGGACATCGTGATAAAATGGAGTGGTAACTCCGCCTGCCAAGAAAAGGCTTTGCCAATACGAATTGTTTGTCAAGAAAACGATGTAAAAATTGATCCGGCTTGGGTATCTAGACGTGAGAACAAGCAGGTAGATAGATTGAGCGTAGACAAGTTAAATAGTAACATAGAACTCATGGGAGTTTGGTCTGAGTCTGAGAAGATTCAAAGCTCCTCGTGGAGAGTGCTTGAAGCCGTCGTGAGAACGGCAAGTATTGTTCGAGCATCGCCTGGAAGGGCGAAGTGTACGCTGGTACACGGACAACAAGAATGTTGTGGACATCGTGATAAAATGGAGTGGTAACTCCGCCTGCCAAGAAAAGGCTTTGGAAATACGAATTGTTTGTGAAGAAAACAATGTAAAAAGTTATCCCGTTTGGATATCTAGACGTGAGAACAGGCAGGTTGCTAGATTGAATAGGGCGTCAGACATTGACGACTGGCATATGTAAGCTGAGGCTTGTAACATAGGCTTGATCAGAAGTGGAGGACTCATGTGTTTGACAGAATAATTATTGTTTGTCATTATAATACCAAAAGTAGGAAGTTTAATTCCAGATGGTGTAATGGGACAAGTTGTGTTTTTTTTTTTTTCAGAGTTGAGAGTGAGATATCGATTAGTGGGTAGGTATACCACCACCTCGATTCATTGCCAAGACTGTTGATAAATTGGTGCCGGATATTAAAAGCAAGGGCTCACTAATATAGTCCCATATTGGAAGTCTGCTTCATTGGGCCCATGATCTGGGATGGTGATAAGTTCTATTCATTTTATTGAAGAATTTGAAATATTGTCCTCTGGTGAGGAGGATGCAGGGCCAAAACTGGAATTTTGGTAGCCCTCGAAGCAGATTTATGCTTGTCGCATTGAAGACTTTTAGTTGTACCATGTTATTTTTATTTACACTCTCCAGGTTTAGGAGTCAAGAAGGTCATACATGGTGCGGTGGACGAAGCGAGGGTTTGATCTGAGAATCTTATCGTCATGGCTTGGCAATCATCGGAGCCGAAGGGAAGAAGGGACGTCCAAGACTCGTCGTCAAGAAGGACGCAGTGTTTTTACAGTGATTTATGGAGGTTGCGATGATGTTTGAACTTTTAAGAGATCTCGTTTATATTCTCGTTTCTGACATTGTGTTTGAAAGCTCATATTTATTCGTAATATGTTGGCGGAGAAGTGAAAGTCAGATCAGTATCGCAGGCACAATACCATCTTGATGAGTAATGGTAAATAAAGTACTTAATTGTCCAGTAGAAATTCTACGAGAATATATGTGGCAAAGGAAAAGAAGGTTTTTCCAAGAAATCTGACCCATTCAATTCAGACCAGTTTATTGGAACAAAGGTTATAAGAGTTTGTCATAGAAAACAAACAGTCAAGTTATACCAGTGCATATGAGACAGTTGTTGCTCGATTGTGGAAGGTATGCGTTGAAGAGGCTAGTTTAATTTGGGCCTTCTTCCTTAGAGCAGGAGGGGCTATACCGCCGATGCCAGAGCTTCCGTGCCAAATAGGCTTAGGAAGAGGCACGGGCGAAGGAGCAGTGAGAAGTCAAAAGATGGCAATGTTGACGATAGTTTGGAGCACAAATTATTGGTCATTAAGTCTTTGAAATTGTGAAAAGTGCTTTTTCTGTTAGATTTGAGAAATAGCACAGGGTGTCGTGCAGCTAAATAAATATAAGATATAAGCATAAGTTTTGCTTTGTTCATTCTCAGAACATGTTTGTGCCTTTTGCAATTTGTTTTTCTTAACTTCAAACATGTGACATGATTAAATGATCATAATAATTTTTCTTTCAGGAGAATTGCTAATATCGTTTCAATGTGGAAAGAAAATCAATCCAAGATTTATCAAAATTGTATATAGTTTGAGATTGCGGATGGGAAAACAGCACCATCAGCAACATATTGTAGGAAAAGTAATCCTTTGAATTAGTGCTTAATTCCTGTTCAATACAAATTGGGTTGACCTGCAAGTGAGCGTAGATACGCAAAATGCATGATATTCATTTGGATGTACGTGATAAAATTTACTCTATAAACTTTGATTGGGAGAAATCACAAAAGATATTTTTCCACAAAGCTGGTTTAAAGAAGACCGCAAATATTCGTAGGTAGCCACCAACAAAGTGTTGCCGGAACAAAGAGTTGTGTTAATTGAATTTAATGACATATTATTAGCATTAATTGATGGTGTTTTCAACTTACGGACAGGAGTTTAAAAATTATCAAAAGAAGGGCAAGAAAACGAGGTCTTGTCACGTACACAGGTTTGCCTGTTCATATTTGAATATAACGAGCATTTGTTCGAATTTCAACTTTTTCTTGAAAAAGATCGTTTCGGATCTAGAATGTCATGGTTATAAATCAAATTATTCAATGACAGTGTTCTGTACGCATATGTATTAAGTGGGAAAGGCAAGTTCCTGAAACATATGATAAGACTTTAGAATCGGTTGTATTCAAACAAGGTAACAAGTTTAAACGAGCAAGATAGTGGTTTTAGTCCAAATTGGACTCGTTTGTCAGTTGGGTACTAACTTTCAGATTTCATTATAGTAAACCCAGGTGAGGTAAATGGTTACATAGCTTGCATGAATTAGTTCCTTGAAATACTGGAGCTCTCATACGGCAGCAAGGGTAAAGCCGGGGTAATAATGAATGCGCCTCAGAATAGGATTTCTCGATAGACGGCGCTATAGAAATGCCATTAGTATTAAACAATGTTAAAATATATTTAACTGGGAGTCTATTTGGCATGACTTAAATTTAGATTGATCATTTCTCTTCTGTTCTCTTTTGCTCCCGTTCTTTGAATTCTAGTCGTTGTCAGGCTATTCCACAATAATTGAAGTGTATTATTGTGTTATTTGTGTGTATTAGCAGTCAAGAGGGATGACAGACGAAATAATATGTGAGATTATAGGACAGACTATTATTTGTCTGCGGTACGATTGTATAGCAGACAAATGTTGTTTGTATCGTTAATGAATGCATACTTATGTTGGGTCCGGGGCTGTGCCCCGATGGAATGTAATTTGCATAGGCAGCTCGTACAGGTGTGCGAGCTAATTCTGCCACGGAGACCAGGGCGTGGCATGAATTAGTGTGTAATTGAATCATTCTAGCTTGAACTGTCAACGAGACAACTTTTATTTACAATAACAGTGCTTGTGTCATGTAGTGTTACATGACTGTGTTTGAATAAGGTTTTCCAGAGTTTTTATGCTCGTTGAGTTTTATCTCTGGTTTTTTATCCTGGACCATGATAGGTCCGGTTTCCAGTGAAGGAAACGGTTTCCAGTGAAGGAAACGAGAAGAAATGTTTGTTAAACATTCATACTGAATAAACGGTCGGCTCTCAGTAGTCGTTGTCAGGCTATTCCACAATAATTGAAGTGTATTATTGTGTTATTTGTGTGTATTAGGAGTCAAGAGGGATGACAGACGAAATAATATGCGAGATTATAGGACAGACAATCATTTACCATGGCATCTACCGATCTTGTTGTAAATTTGTCGAAATCGATGGTAAGTTGACAAGCAGGTTGAGGGAGTTTAATAAGCCAGATCCTACTCAAGGAAGGAGGATGGTTCTGAGGGGAATTGGGTGAGGCTATGGTGTAAGAAACCCCGCTTAATAGTGATACACCAGAACCTGGATAAAATAATAAGACATACGTTAGCTTTGTATAATGACTTTTATATAGGTTTTTTATAAAAAGAATGAAACTTTTGGCATCATGCATGTGCCATCATATTATTTATTAATTTGTTTTTATCTAAACAGCATTGCTCTCTCAGTTTTATAAATGTTTTTGTTTTCTTCAAAGAGGCCATGTACAAATTGGATATAACCGATTTACATTATTACTACTTTCATTGCGTCTATCTGTTGAATGTTTCCTTAAAGCTCCTCTGCACTAGTTTGGCATGGAGGGATTATAATGCCCTGCGAGTTCACTTGCAGTTGGTTATCTCATCAAATCAGTTTTCAATTAACAAAGTAAAAGGGCATCATGGGGGATCACTGAGTACCGCTTAGGCATTGTTGGCTGTAGAGAGGGTGCAAGTAGCTATAAGTAGTGATGTGGGGTTTTAATGTAACAGTTGAGTGTCTTCAGCAAATTTTGTATCCAGATTCTTATTAATAAGGTTTGATTTATTACAAGTCGCTGGTTCAAACAACAATTCTTACTGCATAAGAAACATATTAGATCGATTTCTAGATAGGACAGAACTGAATATCCAAGGAAATAAAACTTGATTATCTGTATATTTACCTCTCGTGTCGATGTATGACGGTGTGTTTATATCTGACAGAGATTAGGAAAGGGTTAAAGGGTTCAGTTGGTATTTGATGGGTCAAACGTACTTCAAAGTAAAATTGAATTTAAACAACAACGCCAAAAATTACTTTTAAGCAACTACGTATAATTGGTATCCTTGCCATTAACGCAGTTGAACCAATAAAGCAACCATGGCGTTCGAGATTATGTTTAACCAATAGCGGACTGGGTTATGTTTAAGCAGTAGCGTATCAGATCAAGTTTAACCAATGGCGTTTCAGAATAAAGTATCCACTATCATTGCATATTACGTTTGGCCTGCCATGAATCAGATCAAACCACTGACGTAATACTATCACATCAGGTTCCCTAAATAGCAACTCAAATTATTCAAAGGTTTTACCAAGAATGTATCATTGATGTGTCACTAGGTATTATTTACTTTTACCATTTGCCTATCAGAGTATATCTACCTATTTAGCGAATGATAAACCTGATCAAATTTTACTTATAGTCTATTAATTAAACTTAAGAATACTATATCCAATTTAAGCAATTAGTTAACACATTGCGCGATCTATCAGAATAACTTTAACCAATGGCGTATTAATTGAATGCAATTCATTTTCAATTCAATTCATCTCCACTCATCATGCTCAAAGAAAGCAAAATAAAAGTACATGCACAAATAATAAATACACATATCATTGAAGACGAAAACCACAGAGCGTTAAAGTAGAGTTCAGAAACAAGTTAAGGATTTAAAAAACCTGTCCTATTTTGGGTGATTGAGAGAGAGAGAGAGAGCGAGGCAGAAAAAGGTGAGGGAGTAGAAAAATAACGTAGATGTAGAGGAAAGGAAAAAAACACTATGGTTTTAAATTCCGCAAGACAGTATAACATATACCTTGATCACACGTAGGCCTTATAATAGCACTGAATCCATGCGATGTAGGATTCTTGTGGTCATTTGATCTGAACCACATCCACACAACGTTTGAATCTATTTCAAACCATCTCGGGATGTTCGCCTGAGTTCCAGTCAAGCTCCAAATATATAATGGACCAATAACACGATAGCAATTACTGTACCTTAGGCAATATCAATAGAGAAAAACAAGAACAAAGGTTGAAAAGTAAAGATGAGGAAACAAAATTGACAGAAGAACATTGTACTTAGTTTTTCGTTTAATTTTTTAGTTTAGTTTTTTCGGATAATTTCACAGAAAACAGTGACACAAACATTAAACTACACTGCATCATCAATATGAGTATTGTGGTTTTTTTTTAAATAACTTTTCTTTCCCTCCTGTACCTGACTACCTTTTTGTCAATAACTTGATGTTTTAACGAACTGTGTGGGGTCAAGTAAAAAACAAACAAAAAAAAACAAACAAAAAAACCAACCCCACACCATTACCCCCCTCCCCCCGAGATGCTTAATACTTCAGAGGGGTGTAAAGTACGCTTTCCAGTGATACTGTGCAATGGTACGGCACTGTACCCCAAAAATGATATAACTACACTGTCATTGTGTGATTGCAGTCATGTTTCTTTTTTAGTTGAACATTATTTGTATCCCTACTGATTGTTATACATTCTTCACTATCTACCTGGAAATTAAAAAAAAAAAAATCTTTACATGATTTGTAGATGTATCGTTTCCTGATCCGATCTCTAGAATCTCTCCGGGCACCTTCGCATTGAGGGCAATAAACTCAATCCGGACAGTACAGTTCTGCGGCGTTTTGACGATCCAGGTATAGAAACCTTCAACGTCACCAAAATATGCCGACCTATATGCGAATATGTATTGAGGTGTCTTGACGATCAACGACTTGCCACGTCCCAGTTCTACCACGCGTTCTGTAACAACAAACAAATTACGTCTTCCTTAAATGGACCCACTAAGGACCGATATCAACTTTCCATTCACCAAAAAGCGGGTTGTCGCTATTGGACCAGTCCTGCCGACAGGGGGCTCATATGCAGCATATGTCAACATTCAAATCTTATTTTTTTTATAGGCAATTTTCATGCTAGATCATTCCGTTAAAGCCTCTTTAATGTGTTGGGAGCCCCAAATTCCTGAAAATTTGAAAACAAAATTTCACTTCAATTGTATCATAATGTGAAAGAGAATGTTGTTAAAGATACACTTCTGCAAAGATTCCACCCCCCACCCCCACAAAAAAAAAAAATAAAAAAATAAAAATGTGATTGAAAACAAAAGTTGATATCAAAAGGAAAACATAATTTTGGTTTTCTGTTGTACACAGAAAAAATGAAATGTTTTATTCTTTCATCAATATTCGACTTCAAACACATTTATTTTTAAACTCCAAGCAGAACTGTGTTTAAAATGATATCCTTTATCACATTATGATAGAATTTAATGGTAATGCAAAGTTTTGGGAAATTTTGAAAATTGAATGGATAGTAATTCTTTACATTTTTGATATATTTGGATGCCCCTGTGGATGTATTATAAGCGCTAAATTAAAAAAAAAAAAAAAATTAGCCCCTAAAACACTTCTAATTTCGAGAAATCAAATAATCAAAAGTTTACCGGTGCCCCCGGTAAATTTCGAATATTTTAAATAGCGCCAAAGGCCGTTCGATGGTAGCTGCGACCATGAAAATCTCAGAATATACAGTTCTGATATATAATTTCTAAACGGAAATAACAAATAGGCAAGAAACAATGTTTTAAAGCTAAAGTAATGTCTAGAGAGGGAGCTATACAACATAAAGAGTTTATTATTTAAAATTTCATCACTTTAGACTCGATTTCAACCGCGGCAACGATCATTGAATATTGTGGCGGAATAGGGGGGGGGGGGGTTAATAGATAATACAATAGAGGAAGGAAGAAGGAATATGGGAGGAAGAAGGGGGGGTAAAGAGGAAGAGGGGTGGTGGTGTTGTAATTCCCCAGTGAGAGAGAAAGGGGAGGGGGGTACTTGCATCGTTTTGCCACCAAAATCAAGTCAACATTCACAACACACTAAGCTGCCACCATCTAGTCTTTATTAAGCGCTAGATTCTCTTCTCTTTACAACTTGATGTTGTAAAGAGATAAATACCTGACCTGTTGGATCACACAATAAACGATAATTAAATGACTTAATTATTCACAAATCACAGCCTTCTCATTGGCTCATTTCGCACCTCTTTAATTCAACACAACGCACTAATGGTCAACCTTTGACCTGAACCCTGGGCTCTCGTAAACATTCGCGCTAGATTCAACTCGTGCCACGAGCAGCCTGGCTCATCTCTACACTGTTCCACACTTCAAGTAGCTTGTATTTCTTCATTTAGGTGAGTTAAAGCATCATCATGAGATCTGAATAATTCTGTCAGTACTCTGTAAGCATGATTTAATCCTAATATTCGTATCAGACTTGTACAACTCAGATTCTCTAACGATCTGCACAACACACTGCAAACATGTGACAGGGCACACTGGGTGTCCTGTACACGCAGTTAAAACACACACATTATTCGCACTCGTATCTTGGGGCACTTTCTCTCAAATCCCCTATCACATTCCTCCCGTAGGGTAGCGAGCAATCTAAAGGCACAATGACGTGGATAAGTATCTGAATAAAATCAGACGATGATTTCGTTCTCGAAGTTCTCAATTGCGCTATCTAAAGTAGATGTAAAAAATACCAATCACCATCCACACTTAACTACTGTAACTAATGTGTAACAGACATGTATTACTGTAAGAACGAATCTGTCAGCCTAAATTGCTCAAGTGAACAAATAACAAGTTACAATTTATTAATAGATTTCAACTAACAGTGAGGCTTTCGTGCCTAATTCATGTCGACGTTATTCAATTAAAGTATGTATGCAATGCAATTACTAAGTATAAGAGTTTAAATGTACATTATATACAGATATGTTGTCACTTTTGTCCGACAACAAATAATTTACCTAAATAATTACTAGCTTAAAGTATGGATAGTGTATGCGTGTTATGTTAACAGTTATAGGGACAGGTTTAAGATGTAACAATAATAGATCACTAGCAACTGAATTCTACTCCAAAGTGTACATTATCTTTCCTACTAAAACATGAGAAGTAATTCTATTCTGGGCTAAACACAACATAGCCACTTCATCTTACGGTCAATCTAGGCTGACCGCAGCCATCCAATAATCACTCCATTCCAAGTTAAAGTACAAATACTTAACTGCCTTCCTTCTTATTGCCTATAGCATAATCAACTTATAGTATTAGTAATCACCGCTCAACGGGAGTTCTACTCACTGGTCTATCCACCCCTAATCTCGACATGGCAGCTCACTCTGTCGGCATAACCATGCGATCTATAATCCTAGGGTCTTTACAACAGGTTATAGCCTCGAATTTCCAATTCCTATACCTATTGCTAACTTCCAGAATTAACTAATCAGTTTTAAACGTACTTCAATCTTAAGACATCCGGTTTGTCTAGGGATTCGTTCCTTGCTCTCTGTAATTCAGTGCTTAATAATGGATCATTATCAATAAGTGTTACTAAGATAAAATATACATGTAAGTTACAGCTCCATAAATACATAAGTTACTTATATTAATTTGTACATCATTAATTGTTGAATTGTGAATCTATTTACAAGTGACTAAATCTTATGCAAGTAATAGCGTCAGATCGTATTTACTTTATTCATAAATATGACGAATATATTTAAGGTACAACTATATAGAATACAAATATTAAATATTCAAATGTTCAATATATAAAAGTTACAACTGCTATACATGTAGATAGATATATTCTTAAACTACTAGGTACAGGTGACAGACTACGTTACTGAGGCTCTCAGCCTCCTCCTCCAGAAATTCATATTACTGGTAATGTATTAGGTCAAACAGCAGATATGGTATATAGTCTAGAGTAAAAATCGATAATAAAAGAGAAAATGTTCCAATGACCAATTAAATAATCAGTCCTCCATTGAATAATTAGCAGTAGCACTAATATTCAATATCTCACAAATAGATACAAGTTTGTACATGTATAAACATTCTTAGAACTACTTGTCACAGAAACCAGATTGGAAGTGGTTAGACCTTTAGGTATACCCGCAAAGGATCAGTTAGTCAAACTATCCAGCGACCTGAAGTACACCTAATTTCAGCGTAGCTAATGATTTATTAGCTACAAAGAGTAAAATCTCTCAACCAAAAGTAATAAATAAAGGGAATATGTTCACCACTTCCAATACTCATTTCTTAACAGTGACTGCGATATCTGAACTGACATCTCTGTAATGCAATATAATTGTAAAGACATTTTATCAAGTGTTGCATTATTCAATAAATAATTACTGGCACGGTAATATAAAATCCAAGAATTCATGTCCATTTTGTGTATTCTGTTTCAGTTCCAAGCATACATATTGATAACTATTATCTGATAAATGAATATAAATATAACAAGCATCCATATACACAGCAGTCATACTAATCATATGCACAATACCAATTTTGCTAGTTTTGGGCCATCCCATTTTGGCTAGATTTTGGCCAATCTGCTTCTGGCCTGTATTCGGCCTTAAAAACCATAAAAGTACACATTTAACTCTAAAATAAACATTCAAACATCAATTCTGGTACAAAGTCCAATAGATTGATCAACATTTGTTGTTGGTGCAATGCAAATCAGCTAATCTGCATATGAATGGCAATGGGCGGAAACGGAAGGAATAATTACCGTAAATATCGGTTCAACAAGGTTCACAGACAGATCAGGTTCACAGCTCATCTAATGCCAAAGTGTACAGCCACATCAATCAAACTCGGCTGTCACGTATATCAGCGCACTATCATGCGCGTATGCTTTAACCACGCGAATATTACATGTACGCACATGAATATTCATAAATCTTGGCAATAACTATTTCAAAGTAAGTGCGATTACATTAAATAATTTGTAACCTTTTAGAGAAATATATTGATACAAATAAAGTAAGAGCCTTATTCAGAGAGTACAGACATTCAGAATAATGGTAAGTCAGCCTGACAGTATAACTCAGCAATTTAACAAGTGAAATAGACAAAAATATATGAAACGATCGAAAAATCAGTCCCACATATATATTTTGGTGTTTCAAGTCAGTTTTATAAAAATGAACAAGTTAGATTTTACACTGAGCGTCACACTACCTCCCTTCTCGTAAAATCGCTGTCCCCAGCCACTAAAAAAAATAAGAATAAAATAAAAATAAAAATACAACCACTCATTTCTTATCATACATGTACCATACTTTATCATGGTAGTGTATTTACAGTACATACAGGTCTATGTGTATTCTTTTTTTCTTCTGTTAAATACAGCATAAATGTAGGCCTAAACAGTAGAAGTAGTAGCAGTAGTAGTAGTAAAAGTAATAGTAGTAGTAGTAGAAGTATAGTAGAAGTAGTTATAATATTAGTACCAGTATTAGTGGTAGTTTTTGTAGTAGTAGTAATAGTAAAATGAATTGTAGTCGTAGTTGTCGTAGTACTAATAATAGCAGTAAAGTAGTAGCAGCAGCAATAGTGGTAGTATTTGTAGTAGTATTAGTAGTAGTAGTAGTAGGAGGAGTAGGATGATGAGGAGCACAAGGAGTAGTAGTAGTTGTAGTAGTAGTAGTAGTAGTAGTAGTAGAAAGGCTTGTTCTGAGGAACATATAATACTCTTTACCTGCTCGACCTCTAAAGTTTGAAAAGCTTTGAATAAACCGAAGCAGTATCAAATGAAATGAAAGATCTTACCTGTTTGACTTCCGGCAATCGCAGCCTTGGTTCCAGACGTTAGTCCTAATTGAAATAGAACAACATATTATTTTCCTTTATCAAAATGACTAATGAGATGGCTCATTTGCGCAATGGCTCAGTGATAGAACAATGGTTAGGAATTAAAATCGTCTGCCCTCCGGTTGCTTAATTACAAACATAGACAATCATGCTTTCTTAGCAGTCAGGTAAAACAAACCAATTTAATCATTCTCTCTGCTGGCACGGGAAGCGATTCCTGACATACTGCTAAAGTGCTGAATGTATGTATATATATATATATATATATCGGTGGGGTGACAAAACCTCGTATCTCAAAAATCATGAATTTTCAGGAGAGCGTAAAAACATTTCCTGTCTCAACAGATTTAGTGCTGTGACAACGTCCTTTGTGTGGAATTTGTGAAAAACCGAGACAGGAGGCGTTCCATGGATTTATCAGGTGGTGTCGTAGGCCATTAGGTACACAATTATGCAAAAAAAATCAAAATCTCAAAAAATTGAGATACGAGGTTTTGTCACCCCACCGACGTTTGCATTGAGAGAGTCGGCCTCGTAAGATTGAATAATGCTTACAGAAATTAAAAACAAACATTTCACATTTCGAAATAGATGTTTCCGATCTGTTTCTCCCAAAAGAATAGAGATAAATGTATCATTAAAAGAGGATCAATTTTACAGCAAATTTTGTTTACACTAATAATTCAGTTCTAGTTTCAGTTTAGTTTAGTTTTTCACATTTCTCACGGGTATATTTAACATTTTGCAGTGATTTTACAAAGTAAATGGTAAAAGTAAACGTGGATTTTATTAACAGAGACACAAACAAGACAATGAGTACTTCATATCAATTTTTTTGAAGGCATTAACTTGAAAGACTAAACTAAAAAGAAGAGTGGGGTATGGAGGGGCTTATAGTGTTCCCCTTGTTAACGATAGGAGATGTAAATTCCATGACCAATTACCGTCTAATATTTATACTGCCAGCTGTCAGTAAACTTATAGAAAGAATTATTCACAAGCAGCCTTGTGACTTTTTAACACACCAGTTTACAGTTGTATCCTGCGCAGACATGGGCGCCATTTAAAATGGCGAGTAAATAAAGCCAATGACCTAGAGGTCATGGATTTATGCGTAAATTAAGATTGCGCCCATGCAAATTATGATGATATCACTGCCTGCGCGCTGCGTTGTGCGCGCACATCATCTTGATATCTAGACAGGTGGACAGGTGGACGTATTTTGTTGAGCTCTCCGATAAATTGCCTTATTTGCAGACATTTTACATTTTCACGCGAACTCCTATACTTCGCTGGATGGCGTACGTGATGGTGATTATTTTCTGAAAATTTTCTCGTGAAATCAATAATTTTTCATCTCAATTTTGGAGAATTTTGTGACTTTCGTTTCGTTTTTCGGTCAATAAGAACTTTTGAATATCAACAAGATATAGACCCTACGCGTATCTACTTAATTTTCATAACAATAAAAAAATACATTCCGTTAACAACCATCACTTTCATCTGCTTATCTTACTTTACGCGTCCTCATCACATCTTTGGTTGCAACGCTTCATCATTCGCGCATCTCTATTATTACGTCATAGCTTAGACACCTGTTAATTTGTTATGGCGAGTAACTTACTAGACGATGAAGTGTCTATGAAATCTACTGTTAAGGACTCCGTCTCGAAAGCTGTTAGTTATGCCTTGGTTGCTGGTGCTAGCACAAAGAAGAGGCCGCAGTCTTCGACAACGCCCAGGACACCGGGACCGAAGCTCAACAACGATCTCGTCGCAGATCTAGTGCGTCAGGTTGTTGAGGTTCTGCAACCAATCATCATCAAGACCGTGGCGACTGCTGTAACTGCAGCCATGGATTCTGTGATGGAAGGCTTGAGGAAATTGACTCCTCCTCCTCCTCCTCCTCCTCCTACTCCGTCTGCAGCAGCATCCGCCCAGACCAACGTTCTAAGGTTTGAGGTGGACCGTCTGGAGCAATACAGTCGTCGGGAAAACATCAAGATTTATGGCCTGCCTGTGATAACTGGGGAGAACACGTCCGATGTGGTGGTGAAGCTGGGGAGGGAAATTGGTGTGGAGGTGACGAGAGATGACATCAGCGTCTCTCACCGTCTACCTGGAGGACGATCTGGTAAGCCGGCGCCAATCTTGGCCAAGTTCGTTCGCAGAGAGAAGAGGACGGAGTTCATGAAGAAGAAGCGACGACTGAGGGAGACGAAGCGGGATGTCTTCATCGCAGAAGATCTGACTTCGCTCCGTGCCAAGATGCTCAGGAAGGTAAAAGAAGACCGTGAAAGTATCGAGAAAGTCTGGACCATCGATGGCAGAATCTTTTGCCTACTGAATGGCGGCACGAAGGTAATCATCGACACGCCTGATGACCTCCTGAAGATCGGGTGGTCCGAGGACCGTCTTCGTTCTTCAGGTCTTTTCTTGATGGGGTAGGGATACGTCGGCCCGGTGAATGTGACGAAGCACGCTAATTTTTTAAGTTTAAACGTTTGCGGGTTAAGAAAAAAATTAAATGATGGAATATTGGAACAGTACATTAAGGATTTTCATATTGTATGTTTGAGTGAAACTAAAGTTGACGATATTAATGAACCTTTTTTACCTGATGGCTTCAAATACCTCTTTAAAGACAAACAAAGTCAAAGCAACTTTCCGTTTGGTGGCGTTCATGGACTTGGTGTTCTACTACGAAAAGAAATATTCAATTTTGTGTCAATTATTAAACAGGCTAAATCTGAAACAGTATTTTGGTTAAAGATCGGCGAGAAGGCATTTGGATTTCCGTTTATACTTGGTGCTGTTTACATTCCTCCTGAAAATTATAAATATTTTAACGAGTCTATGTTTGATGACATTGCTTATGATCTTCTCATGTTAAAAAATGTACATAACATGCCATTTTGTCTTCTTGGAGATTTTAATGCAAGAACAGGTGTTGAAAATGAAATCTCTGGTTATTCTGAGGATTGCGCCAACAGTCATTATGTGAACGATTTTGATAACGATTATATAAACACTGATAATTTCCAGACTTATAACATAAGGTTGAGAAGATGTAACAGCGACGCTGTTATTAATAACCACGGAAAAAGATTTCTTGAACTATGTAGACATTTTAAACTGATTATTGCAAACGGTCGTGTAGGCGTGGATAAACAAGGTGATTTTACATGTGCTAACACAAGTACCATTGATTATTGTGCCGCATCGCTCGAATTATTCCATGTCCTTAATCATTTTGCGGTTGATGTATTTGACCCTTTTTTGTCTGACAAACATAATCCCATTGTATTAAGATTGAATAGCGAAAGCAGTTATGAAAAATGTAAAAGTGAAGGAAAAGTGAAAAAAGTTTCGGGATCAACGACGAAAATTAAATGGAGTGTAGATTCTGCTAAAGATTTTGTTGATAACATCGATCAAAGTCTAGTTGAAAATATACATCATGCTGTTGATCGTTTGGAGGGTCACGACATTCAGATTGATCAGGAATCGATCGATAATGTAGCTTGTTTATTAAAAAATATTTACCTTACGGCGGCCAAAAAAAGTGGAATGGTAAAAACCTATGGAAATTATAAACCTTGTAAATCTGGTCGAAAGCGGAAACCATGGTTTGATGCAAACTGTGCTCGGTTAAGGGCTCAGTATTTTCATCTTAAAAATCTTAGGAAGACTGATAAATCTGATAGTATTGAAAAGGAATACACCAAAGTTAAGAAAATGTATAAAAAAGCTATTCGTTCAGCTCAAAGCAACTTTGATATAAAAATCCACAGTGAATTAAGAAATCTTAAAATCAATCAACCACAAGCATATTGGAAAATTATTAATTCAGCTAACGGTTTAAATAATGAAAAAAACCCAATTGAAATTCATTCTCTTGAACAACACTTTCGTGGTCTGAGCCAAAATCAAAGAGATAATGCAGATATATTAGAACCTGACCAAATTCTTTCGAGCAATCAATGTATCAATCGTTCTATAAGCAGGGAAGAAGTAACACGTCAAATAAATAGACTGAAAAACGGTAAGGCACATGGCGATGATTTAGTTCTAAATGAATTTTTGAAGTGTAGCACAAAGTCTGTTTTATCAGTAATCATTAGGTTATTTAACATTGTATTAGAAAGTGGAATTGTACCATCTGAATGGACAATAGGGTTAATTCACCCTCTTTATAAGAAGAAAGGAAATCCTAATGATCCGAACAACTATAGAGGAATAACATTGCTTAGTTGTCTTGGCAAGCTGTTTACAGCAGTCTTAAATGAGCGACTTACGTCTTATCTCGAAGATAATGAATTGCTAGGTGATGAACAGGCTGGTTTTCGAAATGGTCATTCAACGCTTGATCACATTTTTGTTCTTCATTCAGTGATCGATTTATATCTCTCTTCAAAAGAGAGGGTTTATTGTGCATTTATTGACTACAAGAAGGCATTTGATTTGGTTGACAGGAGTTCTCTTTGGAATAAATTACTTAAGAATAATCTTGATGGAAAGTTTTTCAATGTAATTAAGCATATGTATGCTCAGGCTAAGTCATGTGTAATTTCTGGTACAGAAAAGTCTTCTTCATTTGATTGTAACATTGGTGTGCGACAAGGAGAAAATTTGTCTCCGATGCTATTTGCACTTTTTTTAAATGACTTCAAACAATTCATTTGTGAAAAGTTTGGAGGCATAAATATTCTTCCTGACAAGATTGATGCAGCTGCGTATCAAAAAGGTATAGATGTATATCTCAGGCTTTTTACATTACTGTATGCAGACGATACAATAGTTCTTGCAAAAACTGAAAGTGAACTTCAGCTTGCTCTTGATGCAGTATCTGATTACTGTAAAAAATGGTTTCTTCAAGTTAACACAGCTAAAACCAAAGTTGTTGTATTTTCTCGTGGTAAAGTTCGAAAAATTCCTATATTTAAATTTGATCATGATATTGTAGAAGTTGTTGATGAATACGTCTATCTTGGAACTACTTTTAACTACAACAACAAATTTCGTAAAGCTCAAATTAAGCAAATTAATCAAGCTAGACGAGCAATGTATAGTCTATTATCTAAAACTTATCAACTGCACTTACCTATTGATATCCTCTTGGAATTATTTGATCAACTTGTGTTGCCCATTCTGCTCTATGGAAGTGAGATATGGGGATTTGAAGTGCTACATGATCTTGAAATTTTCCACATGAAATTTTGTAAGCAAGCCCTTTCTGTCAACAAAACAACTGCAAATTGTATGGTACTTGGTGAAATGGGGAGGCTTAAACTTGAGAAATATATCGAAAGCAGAATGATAAACTTCTGGTGTAGGATTGTACATAGTGGACAGGATAAATTTTCTGGTAAGGTGTATATTATCTTAAAATTACTCTTTGAGAAGAATATATATCAGGCACCTTGGTTAAAAAAAATCAAGCTGACTCTGGACAATATGGGGATGTCTAATTTATGGGAAATTTGTGAAAATACTAGCTATGAGTGGGTCAAACGAACTGTGGAACGTCGATTGAGAGATTCTCATGCTCAGTATTGGTCTGCTTGTATGTATGATAATTCGCATTGTGTTAACTATCGAATCTTCAAACATTCTTTATGTTTAGAAAGATACTTAATCGATCTCATTAAAAGAGATCGGACAATATTAAGTCGTTTTCGCTGTGGCAATCATTACCTGCCGATTGTAGCTGGTAGATATTCAAATACTCCAAGGGAAATGAGGCTATGTACGCTGTGCAATTTGCAATCGCTTGGGGATGAGTTTCATTACTTGTTTGTATGCCCTACCTTTCGTTCAGAAAGAAAATTGTTCATCGATAAATATTTCATTGAAAGACCAAATACACTGAAAATGGATCAGCTTTTTAACTCCAATAATGTACAAACACGTTTAAACTTAGTAAAATTCTGTCGAAAAATAATGCTTCGTTTTCATTAATTTAAGTATGTGCAAAAACATGTTATGAGTTCAATATTAACTTTATGTTTCTCTTTTTTTGTCTTATATCAATTTATTAAATTGATATCAAGAATATTTTCAGTAATTCATTAATTCAGATATCAATTTACTGGTGCCAGTAAATTTCTTTTTCAATTGCTTCCATTAATTTCGTCATTAATTATCGTTTTAATTAATATTATCGTTTTGTTTTTGATTATTATTATTATTATCATCATCAATATTGTTATCATTATCATCATAATTTTTCTCACTATTGTCGATAGTGTTATTTTGTATGGATTAACATTAATTCTATTTGTATTGTATATTTCACAGTGTTTAATTGACAAATTCAAACTGATTGTAAACTTCTCCAATACCCCAATGTGGGTGACATGAGAATAAATTGTCATTGTCATTGTCATTGTCATCATTTGCATGGGCGCAATCTTAATTTACGCATAAATACCACTGACCTCTAGGTCATTGGCTTTGTTTACTCGCCAATTAAAATGGCGCACACAACTGTAAACTGGTGTATTCTTGAAGATGTATTAAGTTCAGTTTGAGTTCAGACACCGTCACTCGACAGCCTCAGCACTTGGTGCATTAACTGAGTCATGGCTGCATGCCATCGACGCTCGATTAATAGTCGGTTCTCTCTTTATAGATCTAAGGCGAGCGTTTGATACAGTAGACACGTCAATAATGTTATGTAAACTACAGGATATAGGATTGTCCAATAATGAATCGTCTTGGTTCAACTCATACTTAGCAAATAGGAAACAACATGTTGTATAGGCAATCACATTCGAATCCACTTTCTATTAAACCAAGGTGTGCCTCAAGGGTCAATATTAGGGCCCTGTTATTGTTACCGATCCAGAACAATTGGGTTACTGGACCGGGGCGGCGATCCCGGGTGGGGGGGGGGGGGGGGAGGGGGCGGAGGACACGTCCCCCCTCAAATTTTTTTTAGGGGGGGGGGGGGGTCGTCCCCCCTCAAAATTTGAAAAATTGCCAAAAAGAATGTATAGCAAATACTGATTAAAGACTGCTACACACTTTTAGGCTCTGGAGGGCCCAAGAGTGCAGCAAATAATAACGCAAACATCTTCTAAATACCGAGAAAATTGAAGTGTGAAAAAAGTATATTGCTTGTTGTTATACTATAGTTTTGCTAAGAAATGTGATTTTTTAATACAACAAAACTTGTGAGGGGGTAGTCACTTCCGTCACCTTCATCCCTCTCATTCACTATGCTCCCTCACACGTGCGTACTGATGGGTGGGGGGGGGGGGGGCTTTGGGGGCAGTTCCCCGAAATGAAAATCCAGCGTGGTTTATTTCTAATTCGATACCAGTGATTTACAAATGTTGTTGAAATGGCATGATTTTTCCCTGAGCCTTCGGGGGCTCTGCCCCCTGGATCCTAGAAAGGGCCCTAAGGCGCCCCCTGGATGCTCGTCTGATCGTAATATAATTCATACAACCCTAAGCTTCTTCTTCCTGCCAGGTCACATATAAGGTATGAAAAATGCTCTTCTGACCGTAATTAAATGCCCAAAACCGCTGACCTTCATGAGGCTCCGCCCTTTGACACCGCCGGGGCTTTGCCCCTGGACCCCACGCCAATTTACGCTCCACTTTGCTTTGCTTTGCTCTTCCTGATCGTTAATACTTAACCCCCCCCCCCACTTTGAAAAACGTTCCGAGGGCCTGCGTAACATTAAAGAGTGATGGTGATGCGGATTTTTTTCTGCCCCCCCAGCAATGTTTTTGCTCATTACGCCACTGCTCCCTCGTCCCTCGCATTCCCCCCCCCCCCCCACCCGGTCATGAAAAGAATTCGCCGCCCCTGCTGGACCAGATCTATTGTTCTGGCTTGTTGGGTTTCGGGTGTGGTCGGTGGGTGCTAATGCGTGCTTTCACGCGCATTTTGTATTTTTGAAGTTGTACAAAAAAGAATGAAATTACAAAATTGTTGTGTTAGTTTGTTCAACTTATTACACATTTAACAATTTGTAAGAAATCATTGAAAGGGACAGCAAACATTTGCTGAGATACCATTTTCTGATGTAGGAATTCTAAATCCTGATATTTCATGCGCTTTTTTAATCTCATAACCTGGTCAACAGTTGCGAAGTAGCGCTTAACTTTCCGGTGGCTTGGAGCATGGGGTTGAAGGAAAGCGATCACTTTTATTGAGCCTACCTGTGCGGGTACCTTTCTTGTTGTATATAATTATAGTGTACTTTCCAATTTGTCTAATGACTGGAGTAGTCTAAAATGCTTGATATCTTCACTAGCTTGTACACACCCCCTCTCTCTCTCTCCCCCTCTCTTTCTCTCTCTCTCTCTCTCTCTCTTGTTCAATCTCTCTCCCTCCCTCTCTTTCTCCCTGGCACTCTTTCTCATAGTTGATATAGAAGTCTTACCTGCCACCATGATGACTATTGCCCATAGCATGATGATAGAGATCCGCTTCACCAGACGGTTCAGTCTGTCCATGGTCAATGAGTTTCTCAATCACAATATCATACAAACCTCCTCCAGATACGACTCCTAAACTATTAGCCTCAGCTTCGAGCTCCGTTACTTATCGCTCTCATGAATGTGCTATTATGCAAGCTTATATAACCATTACAAATTTCGCCAACATTATTGTGAGGGCAAATAAAGAGATTCTCTCTTGGCACTGAAATTAATTATTACAATCCAGTAAGTTATGTTTAGTTAAACTAGATTTGTTAACCCTCTTAGTGATGGTGGCGAGTTAGGGGGAAGGGGGGGGGGGTGTATACGTCATAATGTAATATTCCTTTTCGAGTCATGATTGGTCAATTCTTCGTAAAAGACAAAATACATTGTATATGTGTACTGTGAGGGAGAGTGGCCCAGTTTCCGGAGATCGGGGCTGACGTATTCTCTTTCCCATATACGTTGCATAAAAAAAAAAAACATTTAAAAAAAAAGATTGGAAGTCAGCCAGGTTTAACTAAATACAATGAAGAAGGCTATTATTTTCAACGTTTGCCCATTTTTGTTACCGTTTTATTTTTGTCACATCTTTAAATATCAAAACAACGGGGTTCATAATTATGAACGGTATAAGCGTTATGAAATCAACGAAGAAAACAAAAATTGAAAAACAAGACGAATCAATTAGTAAAGATTTAATGATAGAAACCTCGAAATAAATGTCTCTTATGTAACCTCAATTCCGGGAGACATAACATCCGGAGGATTCAGTTCAGTGTGTGAACGGATAGCTGGCTCATGAGCACCTTGACACTCTGCTCTAATTACATTTTGCAATAACCGATTGGATTCCACCATGTCCAGGGGTATTTTGAATACTGGTCAATATGCAGTGTAATGTGAAGAATATGATAAAAGACTATAAAGGTCTAACATGACAAAATAACTGACCATCTAAAACTTCCTACACTACACAGTGATGCAAATAGAATAACAGATTACCTCAATGGACAAACTATTATAGTTATGAATAAACTCGAAGACAATTCCCTCTTCCTGATAGTCATCAGATGAACAGAACGGGGGGGGGGGGGGCTACAACTAACAATATCCACACTCGTTTCGTGGCAGAGTCAGCGGGGCGTCTTTCAAAGTGGGGACACACCGGTACTATAAAGCATGTATTGCTTTCTTAGCTGTCAGGTGAAATAACCACCACTATCATAAAACAGGGCACTTTCTGGGGAAAAAGGGCGAACCTAGAACGGGTCAACTCAAAGCGTAAAATTACAATGTTTATACATTGTATATACCCCTACAATGTAATGAATACATTATCTGGGGATGATTATCGTTTCAGCACCAACCCTTGCTGATGCGTTCACTGGACCGACTGGCTCCAGGAGACTGACATTGTCTTACTTGTATCTCTCCCTATGAATTTCTGTGATTTTACTCTTCTTTTTATCTGCTTAGTTTATGTATTTCCCTGTTTCACCTTCTGTTATTTCCTTATTTCTTGTATTTGCTTGTTTGGTCCTCTTCTCAGATTCGTGAAGTTCACCATTTAAAAAGAAATATCACTTTACTCCTAGTTCTTCTTATGTATGACTTTATTTCAGTTCTTATGGTTTGTTTGTCTCGTAGACCTTATAAATATGCTGGTATCAAAGGCTGTTGGTTTACTGAGATACCCCACCACCGATACATCACACAATGAATTATGGCTATATATATATATACGTTTCACGCATATCGATTTGTTATATTTTTTATCAAGCCTTTGTCGTGAGGAGGCGCTACATATACTGAACTGAAAGACAAGGAATGGAATAGGTTTACTAAAATATTAAAATTGTGTGCATACCTTTTATACAAAGGAAACTTGCCCAAGACTTGCTTGACATAACAACAAGTAACGTATGCAAACTGAATTCTAAGTATGATATTTTATTCATTAATAACAGGTCAGTGGAGTAACTCGTCAATATAGGTACCCAAGAAATGAATCTCCATAAAGTTGAAATGTTAGAAAACCGGTATATTGATTTGGAGACTTTGCTAACTAGGTTCGAGATGGGCAATTTATGGTGAATGCTTTGTTTGGAAAGCACAAACAGAAGAATAAACGTCATGATGTAACAGAGGAAACCAATTAAGTTGGCCATGGACCCTCACGGGACAATGAAATGTTCTTTTTTTTTGGCAAAGATGAGGCTCGTATGATTCAAAACAGGGAAACTTCCATTTGATATTCCTGAACCAAAATATTGTTGTAAAACACTGTTCTATATGATAAAAATAGTATTACAATTAACGTGTAAAACCTTTCCAAGGATTATATTCACTCCCTTCTATACTCTACCTCACTCTTTCTCTCCCTCTCCCTCTCTCTCTCTCTCTCTCTCCCTCTCGCTCTCCCCCTCTCTCTCTCTTTCCTGTCTCTCTCTCTCTATCGATCTGGCTCCCGATCATTTCTCAAAGTTCTTTCTTTCTCAAATTTCGCACTAGATGGAACTGTTAGAGCCATTATATAGGCCTACCTGAAAACTGTCGTGTATCTGTTCATATATTTTATTCTGAGTTCAATAAGTCCTTTCCTTTTATACCTATAATGACTTGCAAAACATTAAGACAATGATATCATTTTTTTTCTTCAGTATAAAGCCTTTATTATGGTCTCGTATTATTTTCATAAACATCTTATTATCAGTAGTCTAAAGTATGTTGACATATAACATGTTAATGCATTATAATGTCGGATAATCTCGTTTTTCATGTGATAGAAATCTAATAGGGCCTACAAGTGACGAATCAAGCTTGTACTGTATATACATGTACACTCAAGTCAGGAGTATATGTGTTAGGGGGGGCAGTGCACGGTGAACCCCTCCCCGATTCATTTCACTATCTATGTTGTTAGATAGATTAGAGGTAAAGAAGATGAACCCGTACAGTGCTTTCCTATAGAGCAATCACTCTCGTTCTTTATCGCACTTAATGCTTGCAATTTTCAGTTCATTATCAGATCCGATAAACCAACAATGTAAGCATTGGACGATGAGACAATTAGAAGCCAAAGAAAGGATCGGCTTGGTGGAAGAGACATTCCTCGGGGGAGTTAGGAGGTAAGATATCGCTGCCAGGTCCCTCAAATCCATTTGCTCCAGCTCCCATACAGACAACCAACGTAGAGGGCACACCACCAATGCATCTATAAAGAAAAAAGATTTATAATAAATAATGGTAGCAGGTGTCATTCCCTATTCAGACTCATTTTAATAACCGATTGTGATGGACGCCATTAATTTAGATATCAGCCCTTTTATGGATCGACCTATGTATAAGCCTATAAAGAGCATTGCAGTGGTCTTTGAAAGTTCTACAGTGTCTCTCGGGCACCACTGTCTGGTTACCATGGCAACTATTATTACAACAAACTTATGGAACTATGAAGTATCAAAAGTACATCTTTGTAATATGAAAATGATGCGAGTGACATGGCAGTCTTTCAAGGCAGATAATTAATAAGTTACACATTACCAACGACAGCTACTATCAACGCTCCAATAAGGCGACAATTTTTTTTTTTTTAAATAGGTCACTACACTATTGGCGCTATCAGTATTGTAATTTAGATGTACTTGGAAAAAAGTCTCAAAAAGATGAAGTGAACCCGATGATAAATATTGGAGGGAGATTAATGATGTCATTTAATGGAAGTCCAAGAATCACTGGATCATTATGTCTCAACAAACTGTTCTCATTTATGTCTCTGACTCTGTCAAGTGACATCTTAAACTGCAAAAGTGGCAAAATTGTCGATGGTAACTGTTTGTACAATGCAAACATTGTACCCTAGACAATGAATGACAAAAATAGAGACAAATGAGAATATAAAACGTACCTGCAATAGTCGTCTCGCCCATCATTGTCCTCGTCTTTCATGTACCATGTATTGGAATAACCTGGATCAAACCAATCTTCTGAAGGGTTGGGTGAAGTTTAAGCTAGTAAATCATCTTCTTCAGATCCAGTGAGAAGACATGAAAGGAATGGCTTTCCATCGGTACGCACGACCCTATACAAGGAGATTGAGTAAACATAACTTTCTGCACACGGCCCTAAATGATGATTAAGTTTAATAACCTAAGTAAACAAGACCCTACATGGATTTTTCATACAAGAAATTGTTGCCTACTTCTACGCATACTTGTGTTTCAATGAGGGAGATATAATGGGGTGATGGTGTAATACAAGCAAGTGAGTGTCATTTTATGTAATGCTGATATCGAAGCTTAGAAAATCATGTAGATCTTTTATCAAAATCAAATCAAAATGTTTGAATACAATTAGATCTGGATTGACAAAGCCACAGTCAATTGCAAGAACCCTGTAGTGCAACCGGCTAATACAAGTGAAAGGGGCGAGACAAAATGGTGATCACTGACGGTGACTTACCTGCAGAAATCGTTGGGGTGCCCTGGCCCTGTACATCAACCCATTCACGGAACATCTGCACCATTCCCCGGTCTGTGATGGCGTAGGAGCGGCGGAGAAGCTCACCCGTTGTACCATTCGTTACATTCTGCTGTATGGGAACTACTGCAGATGGTGTAGATGAGACCGGTGTTGTAGCCCTGAAGGTAGTTGTCTGAGGCACTGGCGTACTGGTGGGGGGGGGGGGGGGGCGCCAGCCCCCCCCCCCCCCCCCGAAATAAAATTGAACCATGACTTATTTTGAATTCCATATACAAGTGATGTATAAATGTTCGTGATATCACATGATTTTCAACAAAATGCGCATTTCTCAATTTCTGTTGCGAACTGGCACATTCCCAAATGGCCAGGGGGTGCAAATATTTTTTTAAAGTCACTAAGGGGCCGTGCCCCTAACAGTAACACTATTAAAAAAAAAATCCTTTCCAGAGGCAACTGTGTCAAGCACTGCCGGGCGTTCCATACTCACATCATGTAACACTGCACATGTACCGTTAGGGGGGCCCATTGGGGAAATTGAATTTAGACAAGATTAAGAGTCGAGAACGTTACAACGAATCGTGTTCCTTCTTTAATAATTTATTGAAGTGTCAAAGCTTCCGCGCTTTGCGCGGGAAGGGGGGGGGGGGGTTAAACTAAATTCAGACAAGAACACGATAAAACGAATCGTCTTCTTTTTCTGATAATTAAATGAAACGTGAAAGCTTCCGCGCTTCGTGCGGGATGGCGAATATGAATTAAGACAAGCATAAAGAGTAATAGTTTAATAAAACGTCAGAGTTTCCGTGCTTCGCGCGAGATGGGCGAAAATGAATTCCGACAAGAATTAAAAGTCGGAACCGGTACAATGAATTGTCTTCTTTCTCTAATAATTTGATGAAGCGTCAAAGCCTCCGCGCTTCACGCGGGAGGGGGGGGGGGGAGGGAATGAATTCAGACAAGAACACTATACAACGAATCGTCTTCTTTCACTAATAATTTATTGAAACGTCAAGACTGCCGCGCTTCGGGCGGGAGGGGGGGGGGGGAACTGGATCCAAACAAGAATTAAGAGTCGAGAACGGTACAACGGATCGTCTTCTTTCTCTAATAATTGAATGAAGTGTCGAAGTTTCCGCGCTTTGCGCGGGAGGGGGGAGACTGAAAAATAACTTAGTTCCTGGCCCCGGGTTTATAGGGTTAAATTTGTAGACATTTGGACATTAGCATTAATATATTTGTCGGTAATTGGTTGCTCGTTTTGTCGGTAATCGGTGGCATCTACACCCTTCCCACTCCCTCACTGCCCACTGACAAAGATCTAGCGACGCCCCTGATAACGACACAGGTTATAAACTCGAGAAAATGTTTGCAAGTACTACTGATGAAGTACCGGACCACCGTCTTTGTGCATTGTGCGGCATCAAAGCATATACAACGTCTAAAGACGTGACAGATCACTTTTCTCTAACTTCTAATTAATCAGAAGGCCTCGATTTTTTTCCAGGAAGTGCCGGTGGACATCAATGCGCCAAATGTGTTTCTCAAATTGCAAAAGATTCCTACTCTTGGAAAAGGTAGGAGAAAGCAATTTTACGTCATATTACTCCAGGAAGTGTCTGAAAATGCGTCTAATTTGGTTCTAAAATTGCAAATGCAAATTGCGTCTTACTCTGGGATTGGGCCAGAACCCCCTCCAAGAGCCACCCCCGCTTGGTCGCTCCGCTCCCTCTTCGCTCTCCGCTAAAGCCTCGTTCTGTCGCTTCATCGTTTTACATTTATTTAACCCCATGCCATCTTGTGCCCCCCCGGTAAGAAATTCCTTGATCCGCCACTGATGCCAATACCCCTTGAGCTTCAGGAGCTCCGCCCCTTGGCCCCCGCCGGGGTCTTTGCCCCTAGACCCCACTTTGCGAAACGTTCAGCGGGGCCTGCATGTTAGAGTGGGGTGCTGCGATTTTTTTTTGTCAGCCCCCTCAAACGTTTTTGCTCATTACGCCACTGGTCTGAGGGGTAGAGGTTCCCTCGTTTGGCTGCCCGGGGGTCATAGTCGTTGAAACACCTAGAAGAGAATGATAAAACACGTGAGTTCTCGATTAGTTCTGGAAGAGTTCATTGACCGATGACGCCCTTCTGCCTAATGCACACGAGACAGGCAGGCGACATTGTTATATCATATAGGCCTAGGTCAGCATCAACAATTGGTTAGAATTTTGACGCGCTATAAAAGGTTACAACGGACATAAAGGCCCGAATTCACAAATCAAGGTTTGAGCTCAAACCTCCTTTTGTTTCGCCAAACCTCCTTTTGTTCTTTACAAACCAGGTTTGTAAAAAACGCGTAAAACGCGTCATATGACGTACGAAAACCAAGGTTTGTCGACAAACCTCCTTTGTGAATTCGGGCCAAAGTGAAGGTAAAATGAAAAGCGTAAACAATACTTCGAACTAGTGGGGGTATGTACTAATGGGGCTTTCACACATACACTCCGGGGCCCGTACGGCGAGTCAAAACAGACATTTTGGGAATTTTCGGCCGAGGTCCGGCCGGTTGCCGTAAAGTTCCTACGGGCGCCGGGACAGTATTTTAAGCCGTACGGGCGCCGTGGTGCTGAGTTGGCTGCTCCCAATTCTCCCGGCGTTTTTTATCTGACCGTTAGGCCGTAGAAAGTCCGTAAAGGGCCAGTAGGGCACCTTACGGGTCCCATGCGGGCTCCGCACGTTGCCCGGACGGGCCCCTCACGATTTTGGGGGTCAATTCTCATGAAAAATCTTTACGGGCGCCTTGCGGTGCTCAAGGGTTCAGTACGTGTACGCTACGGCGCCCTCACGGCCCCTCAAGAGCCCCGGATGTTATGCACAACAACAGGCGTCTGCCGTCCGAGGGCAATTTAAAATGAATATTGCCCGTGCGGGTCCCTCACGGCGGCATCTCGAAATGTACAACGCACTTTTAAATACAGGAGGTGCGGATACCAGAGGACACATACGTTTCGACGTTTAAAAATGTGACAAAATTAAAATGATAACAACAGTTAGCAAACCTCCAAGATTATAGCCTTCCTCGATGTATTAGCTAAACGTTGTTGACTTCCATTTTTCTTCTTCTTCTAATGCAACTTATATGTTAAATAGAATACGTCAGCCCCCCCCCCCCCCCTTCCCGGAAACTTGGCCATTACCCCCTTATAGTACATGTATGCGATGTATTCTGTCTTTTACCAAAGATATACCAGCTAGAATTGACCGATCATGACTCGACAATGAATAATAAATTATAACGTAAACACCACCACAAATACTTAAATAGGTTGAAGTAAACATATTTTTTGGATTACTAGATTATAGTCCTTTAAGTCAGTGCCAAAAGAGAATCTATTTATTCGCCCTCACAATAATTTTGGCGGGATTTGAGATGGTCACATACTAAGTTTGTAACATAGCACATGAGAACGATAAGTAACGGAGCTCGAAGCTGAGACTAATAGTTAAGGAGTCGTATCTGGACGAGGTTTGCATGTTATTGTGATTGAGAAACTCATTGACCATGGACAGACTGAACCGTCTGGTGAAGCGGATCTCTATCATCATGCTATGGGCAATGATCATCATGGTGGCAGGTAAGACTTCTATATCAACTATAAAAAAGAGAGCCAAGGAGAAAGAGAGAGAGAGAGAGAGAGAAAGAAAGACAGGGAAAGAGAGAGAGATTAAACGAGAGAGGGAGAGAGAGAGAGAGAGAGAGAAAAGAGAGATAGATAGATATTGAAACAGAGAGAAAGAGAGAGATATAGGGAGAGAAAAAGAGAGAAAGAGAGAGATTGTTAATATTGTTATCATATTGTTTCTGATGTGGTTGTTGCGAAAGTGTTTAAATATCCCAAATAACAGGTAAGGCAAATTTATTCTTTAAAAAAGAATGTGTAACGTTACTGTGATGTAAGTGACTAACCATCATTTTTTGGAATACAAATTCTACTGCTGTGATTGACATTAATTGTTGGTTTCCACTATTTTAAAGGTGAAATTAAAAAGAGCAGTCTAGTGGCGGATCCAGGGGGGGGGGGGGGCACAGGGGGCATGTGCCCCCCCCCCCCGGACCAAAACAAAAAATAATAAATTAGTGCTCACTACCCTCCCCCCTTTTCCTTGATCTTATGATGAAAAACACTAAATACAGGAAAACAAATCTGAGATTCATTAGTAATAACATAATCTAATAAAGAAACACAATGAACGGTCATCCAAGTAGTGTAATTAATGAGTGGATACATAGAAAAGGTTACCAGCAGATTTAACAATTCATTAGCTTCATGACATGATGTGGTATTTGTGTTTATTTTGCGAAAGGTTGAACCAGTTTGGCTATATCTAAACATTATTGCACAGACTGATCAGGAGGCCTATAAATTACTCCTTTATTTCTGTTTCTATTACATACATGTCTATTTCGATAAATATACTTTCTATCATCCATTGTTAATATCTAAATCACCTCTATGTTTAGGACTAACGTCTGTAACCAAGGCTGCGATTGCCGGAAGTCAGACAGGTAACGACTTTCATTTCATTTGATAGTGCTTCCTTTTATGCTAAGCTTTTCAAACTTTAGAGGTCGAGTAGGTAAAGAGCATTACAGGTACCTCGGAACAAGCCTTTCCGGATATGTTTGAAGAAAGCTCAGTAAATTTATAAGTTCTATTATTTTGAATAAAATATCAAAATGTACCATACATCCAATATTTGAGTATTCTTGTTCCGTGTGTGGGAACTGTTCTGTACTAAACATAAATATTCTGTTAAGACTACAGAAAAGAGCTGCACCTATTGTTGTAGGAATTTGATTATGATGTAAATAGCTTGAATATACATAATAAAAAAGCATTAAAATTGCAATCCATTTTCACTAGACGTGACTATTTTTAGCATGTAGTATATGTACAACTGTGTTCATTGAAAAGCCCTGGTCCGATTGTGCAATGAGGTGGTTTTAACACTACAGTGTGAGTCCAAAAAAAAATTACACCTAGAAAATTGCTAATTGTTATAAAAATCATTTATGAACAGTAAATTATTTTACATCTTATGAAAGAGTGTTTTATCCCGAATCATTTAGTGTAATTTTGTGTCGTATGTGTTTACGCTTGGATGAACAGGGGGCATTGTTTGCGAGAGTGCAAAAATCGACTTGCGCCAAAGTTGCTTATGTGATATTTAAATAAAACAACTAGGATTTGGGTATTAATTCGGTCTTTGCAGATCCAAATAACATCCCTAACAAAATTAATCATGCCACACATATCAAATATCAAATATCAACGAACATTTGTGCGCGTGTTTGTTTGTGTGAGTGACTTTGCTTCTACAAAAAGCATATGCAACGCATTTCATTTGATACATTCAATTCGTTCTCTCACTCCGCTAATCCCAACATAATACCTACTGTATAGGCATAACTTTGGCGCAAGTCGATTTTTGCACTCTCGCAAACAATGCCTTCTCTTCATCCAAGCGTGAACAAATACCACACAAAAATGGTACCAAAAGATTTGGGACAAAACACATTTATTAGATGTATATTAATTTACTGTTCATATATGATCTTTAAAATAATTAGCAATTTTCTAGGTGTAAACTTTGTTGTTGACTCACACGGTAGTAGACTTGTTAATACGTTGAATGTTGTTTTTCCACAGTCTACTCTTGTGAATACTTTAAGAATTGTTTTAGATACGCTGGTGGTAAAATCTGGAATAGTCTACTTTTTGCTTTTTCTTATGGGTTCCCGGTAGGAGGAAATTCTACGAGAGTCAGAGTGCCTTGTCAAGGTAGCTCGGCTATTTAGGGTAACAATATTACAGCTCTTAGAAACATTCATATTAAGTGCTTTATAAATGTTATTGATATTATTATCATTATCTTTATCATCATCAATATTGATATTTGTAATATTATTACCATTATTATCATTAACCTATGGGCCTATTACTACTATTATTTTTATTATCATTATTACTAGAGCCATTATCATCATCATCATATTGATTATTTTTATCGTTGTTACGGTTGCTCTTATATGCATGTACACATATTTCTATTTTATCATCATCATTACCATCATCACCAAAATACAAACTGAACTCACATGCGGAATAAAAAAGCGCAAATCAAAATACATTGAGATAAGTTTCCATGATTAAACATGTTTCTAGGTGGCCGAGTAAAGCTCGGTGAAGGGGAATCTTTCACCATCGAATCGACCTCTGACCTTTGGGGTAAGTATGCTGGTGATCAGGATATATTGTGGAGAGTGAAGGTCCCTGAATCATGTGATGTTCTCATCGTATTCGAGTACTTCATCACAGAGACTTATATGGATTATCTGTTCATTGGAAATGGAACGAAGAAATCAGATTCTCCGGTAAGAATCATAACTATTGTATTCAAAATTGTCCGTGCAACCATCTATACTCTAGATATATATATATATATATATATATATATAACGAAAATAATAGTAAACCTAGTAACAGTAATGCAGATTTGATAATGATGATGATGATGATGATGATGGTAACAATGATAATATTTGAAATAACATTTTTAATAATAATAGAACATAATAACAACTAGACATCGAATTCGACAATCGTCACTGCGACAAATCTGCCTCGAACGAGACATAACACATGTATAAACTCAATGGGTGGATGATTTGGTCTTTAGGACTATTTGCTGGGAGAGGATATAAAACATATTGCATAATAGACTCTGTCACTCTGATAATTCTTTTTTTTTAAGGTAAAGTTTGTAACTTTTATTCTTGCGATTAATTTTGTCAAGCATAGCATAAGCCTTGTTTTCATTTTCACATAAATATGCATATATTTATTTGATAAGACAGCGCAATTCAACCTTGTTTTTAACTCGAGATCTCCCTTACAACATTTTAACAAGAACAAAGAACTGTCTCTGTCTCTCTTCGTCGTTCTTTCCCGATTTCGATTTCAGCCATTTGTTTTATTTATTTTCTGCTTTTGTCATTCCAACGGCATTTGAAAGACAATACTAATTTAGAACTTCCCTCAAAACGAAAGGGCTTGGATATGGCTTTTTAGTGGGAAAATAACGATTATTAGTTGTCGAATCGCCTTAAGTGATTGCTGGCAATCACTCGACCCAAGAAATATTCTGATTTCAGACCCGTTAACCGAATGGTCGTAAGTTTTGTGCTGCACAATCAGTTTAAATTTGGCCCTTACGAGTAATGGGTTATTGATGTTATTGAATAAAGCAGTTAACCGTTACGGACAAATCTCACGTTAACTAATAGCCGGGTCACTTCAACTGCGATTCTGCAATCACTATAATATCATGGTATAACAGATATGTTATTTCCTGTTGTTCCTGATGTTATAGACATGGGCTTTATCTGGTTACGCCGCACCATCTCAGATCAGGATGAATTTCTCTGCAGTATGGATCAGGTTTAGTACATCAAAAAGACAAGAAAAACTCGGATTCAGAGCCAACATAACACCTAAATGCAGTCAAGGTAACATACTGCTCCAATAGCGCCGCTAAATGGAAGGGTAACGGGGTCACTACCCCCAACCCTCCACTTCCTTTGATCTGCGAAAAGGAAGACAAGGGAAGAAAAGAAGAAAAAAAAAGGAGAGGAACGGAAACGGGGGGAAATACCTAGATTTTCAAGATTTCAAATTTATTCATGTTTCCAACAAAACATTACAAATGAATTATAAGCATTTAAAACAAATATAAGAAATACATGTTGGAAACCCCTAATTAGTAGCTTTATGTGACATGTACAGTACGTCCCAGAAAAAACGAAACCGATAACTATCGATGTTTTATCATAACTATTAAAGTTACAATTATAATTAATAAATGACACATATTTGTAAGGCTTAGATCCTCCTCTTTCATTTGATGCAACTCATATGATACACATTTCACGCATTGGGGATTAAAATCTATTTGAAGAGAGGAAACCAAAAAGTCATTTGGCGGACGGTATCTGAATTTCAACGAGAAAATTTCATTATATGAGTAGTATCAAATGAAAGAGGAGGATCTAAGCTTTACAAATATGTGTCATTTATCAATTATAATTGTGATCAAGTTATGATAAAACATCGATAATTCTCGGTTTCGATTTATTTTGGGGGACGCACTGTATATTGGGATTTGTCATTTTTAATTGACTGGGGAGCGTTTCTTGAAACCGTCATGATTCCAAGTTCGCCGGCAACTAACTGAGATGCGTGTCTTAAATATAACACATGTTTCAATAGGATGTCGGCGTAGTTTTACTTATGACGGTTTCATGAAACGAAGTAGTATTTTAGAAAATATTCCTAAGCTTGTTATCTTAATGGTTCAAACAAACAGTCTTCATGACAGACTCACATCGGATGCAAACTCATTTCCGCCCAAACTGCAATGTCATACCGGGGTTCAAGATTAATCATTTTTAACGACATTAACATTGATCTACAAGGCTCCTCCTTTCAATCATTATTCATTTTTCTATTTTAAATCTACGCATTGATTGATGCAATATTTTAGTTATAAGGCCGAGTTCAATGCTACTAAACACCTAAATTTCTAATACTATATTTTCCTTTGTTTCGTAGATAGTACATCAGTCGACACGGTAGGTAAGTTATTGAAATATACTTGTTTTCATGCTTATCGGCATTGGCCTATTTAAGCCGCACAAAGGGTAGTCTGCACGCCCCTGTAAACGTAACAACCAATACAATAGAATCCCTCACTGTCTTTGCAGAAATCATTGCAAGATACATAATCTTAAAGCAACAAACTCCTTAAAGAAATCACATCAAACTATGTAATATGTTGAGCAATACCTGCATAAGTTTATAGATGATTATTCTAACCCTAAAATTAAAAGTTTGATAAAATGCAAAGTAATACAGATAACTATACACTCTGGAATGTAAAGTTGTTTTGACAGACATGAGCGTTTTAAAAGGAACAACTTATTATCATTGTTGCTATTATTATCATTATTATCATTAATGATTTACTAGGTTCTGGATTTCAGGCATTGGATGGAGAGACGTATCAGATCGCTTCACCGAACTATCCAAACAACTATCCTCCAAATATAACATTAACATGGGGCTTTCAGCTACCAGACCCACGAGAATGTAGAATCTATGTCACCTTCTTAGACTTTGAAACTGAACAAGATAATGATCAGGTAATACCTTATAGCATTTGATCTGCATTATACCAACTGTCTTCTAGATCACATTTAATGATTACTTTCGATAATACAGAATTGTCTTGTACTTATCAGAGTAATATGCAATGATGGAGAGAAATCCAAATCAACTGGGAACTAAAGGAGAGCTCTTCGTTAATTTCTAACTTTGTATTAAACGTATGTCGTTAAAACAGATTTTAGAATCTTTACTAGGAATTCTAGAAATTTAGAAAATCGTGATTGATGAAAAACAATTATGATGACAACCAAAACAATGTATCATCAGAGCACTCTGGTTCAACATTCGTCCTACGGGTAAGTAAAGTACTGTAAAGGATTGATAATTTTGATCTATATGTTCATATGTAGTTCCGATGGAGAAAAGGATGAGTATATGATCATTCAACCTGTTTATTCTCAGAGGGTGGGGCATGGGGTGTGTGTGTGGTGCGCAGGGGCGGCGATTTATTTTCTTGACCAAAATGCGAGGGACGAGGGAGCAGTGGCGTAATGAGCAAAACATGTTTGGGGGAGGGGGGGGGCAGAAAAAAATTCGCATCACCACCACTCTTAGATGTTACGCAGGCCATCGGAACGTTTTTCAAAGTGGGGGGAGGGGTGGGGGGGGGGGCGGGCTAACGTATTTTCGATCAGATAGAGCAAGGCAAAGCAAAGTGGAGCATAAATTGGCGTGGGGTCCAGGGGCAAAGCCTCGGCGGGTGTCAAGGAGCGGAGCCTCATGGAGCTCAGGGGTTTTAGGCATTTAATTACGGTAAGATGAGCATATTTTGATACCTCCACTGGAATGCAGGTCACTAACAGGAGTGGGGTCCAGGGGGCAGGGCCCCCAGAAGCTCAGGGATTTTAGGCATTAAAATACGATCAGATGAACATCTAGGGGCCGCCATAGCGCTCCTTGGTGGGGTTCAGGGGGGGGGGGCAGATCCCCTGGAAGCTCAGGCTTTTAAGGCATCTAATTACGGTCAGATGACCAACCAGGGGACCGCCTTAGTGCCCTTGGTGGGGTCCAGGGGGCAGAGCCCCTGGAAGCTTAGGGGAAAATCATGCCATTTTATCAACATTTGTAAATCACTGGTATCGTCTTAGAAATAAAACACGCTTGAATTTCATTGGGAGGGATTTGCCCCCCCCCCCACATCAGTACGCAAGTGCGAGGGTGCATAGTGAATGAGAGGGTGAAGTTGACGGAAGTGACTATCCCCTCACATGCTTTTGAAGTTAAGTTGCATTAACAAATCACATTCCTTAGCAAAACTATAGTATAAAAACAAGCAATATAATTTGTTCATACTTCAATTTTCTTGGTATGTACTTGAATATTTTTAAGGATATTATACGAGGGAGCGTAGCTACCGAGAGAGAATTTTTTTCATTATTATTTGTCTAAACGCTGCCCTCTTGGGCCCTCCAGAGCCTAAAAATGTGTTGCAGTCTTTAATTAGTATTTGCTATACATTTTTTGTTTGCATTTTATCAAATTCTGAGGGAGGGGGGGGGGGGGAACGATAACCCTACAAAAATGAGGGGGGACGTGTCCCCCCCCCCCCCCAGAATCGCCGCCCGGGTGGTGCGTGTGTGTAAACAAAAGGATGTCTGTGTGCATGTAATAATAATAATACAGCATTTATTATGCGCCATCGATCTAGTAAACTATTCTAAGGCGCAGAGGGATAGAATTAGAATGAGAAAAATAGAGAAATATGCGTGTGCGTGTGGGCGCGCGTGTGTGTATATGTGTGTGTGTGTGTGAGTATGTATGTGTGTTTGCGGGATGACATACTAAACAGTGCTCTTCGGAATTGGTAGGTTGTTCAATATTTAACATCTCAAACAATCTTTGAAAAGTTACGTAAACTTGCTTTTTCCCCAAGCTTGTGTGCCTGTGGGCGGGTGTGGGTGTGGATGAAAGTACGTCTTATCATGTCCATGATCTTATCGACTACTCATAATAGAAGCATCAACTAGACCCCATTCCAGAAATTGATAACTATATTGTCTTTAATTTGTGAATCATCTTTAGGTTATTATGGGTACTACACCCAGAACTTTTGGTAGTGCAATCAAAGAAACATTTTCAGGAGTGGGCGTTCCCCTCAACCATCCTATCCTCGTGCAACCAGAATACTATTCGACGTACGCTTATATTCGGTTTACATCATTAGAAACATCGTCCACGGCTCGTGGTTTTATGGCTAACGCCACAGCAGACTGCGAACCAGGTTAGTTTATTGATTAATTTTTTTAAATTTTTTTTATTTATTTATTTTTTATATTTTTTTTTATCTACGTTTATCTAGACCACAGCATCACAAGGGGGCCATTCATTTAAAATAAGTAAGATATGCCAGAAAATAGCACATGTTCTAGTCTGACACAAACCTCTCCCAGCACTCTGGTCATTAAACTTTGAAGACAAAAACAATTGTTGTAGAATTTCCCGTAGAACTGAGTCGTATTAAAGGGATCGTTTAACAAAGTTAAATCTGAGATACACGGTCCTACGTGTTATCAGTGTCTGTGATATGGTGTAATATTGAAGCCCTAAAAAATTGCGCTTCAAAATGATCAAGAAGTGCCTCAAAAAAGTAAAAATCTTTGAGTGACCGGTTTTACCATACTCGTTTTCCCCATTAGACTGTAGTGTTATGAAAACCGTCAGGCGAACGTTTTTCACAATTTGTAATTCCAATCATAAATATTTTGATAATCAGACAAGCGATCGGCTTGTAAAAGTCATGGGGTTCCTGACTGACCTAAAGGTTTATAATTATCATTGCATCATGAGCTAAATCCAAAATTTTATTTCAGAATCTGAGACAAAGTCACCGGATCCCTTTTAAGGTAATGCAAAGTTTTGGGAAATTTTGAAAATTGGATGGATAGCAATTCTTTAAAATGTTGACATATATGGATGCCCCTGTGGATGAATTATAAGCACTAGAAAAGTTAGCCCCTAAAACACCTTTGCTTTCGAGAATTGAATAATCTAAAATTTACCGGTGATCCTGGTAAATTTCGAATATTTCAAAAAGCTCCTAAGGCCATTCCAATGTAGCTGCGACCATGAAAATCTCAGAATATGCTGTTCTGATATATAATTTCCAAACGGGAATAACAAATTGGTCGATTGTAGTCAATAAATATTGTTTTGAAGCTAAAGTAATATCAGTATTTAGAGGGTGCTATACAACATAAAGAGTTTGTTATTTACAA